CATAATTTGCATTTAATAACAAATATGTCGACACCATCATTTAGCTAAAATTACAAATTTTGAAATTTTTATGTTTTTTTTAAGGGCAATCTAAGCTTAAGTGTTCCTTCACTGGTTAGTTTACCCTATAAGATGTTGAGAAATTTGCAATGATGTGAGAGATGCTTAAAAATGTTTACTACGTATTTTTATTAATATTTATAAAAAATATATTCAAGAAATTGATAAATATTTTATTCCAAATCTATTCATACGTATGTATACTATTGAAATTGTATCAGTTATTGAGAAAAAAAAACTAAAAAATATCACATTAAATAAGCACAATATGGTGTATAATCATATTCGATCAGAAGCATGCTTTTATAAAACTCGACATTCGTTGAATAAAATGTTTTTTTTTCAAAATGTTTTATTCAAATTTCTTTACTAAATTGCAAATAGAATTTTAGACGACTAAAAAAGAAACATCGTATTTCATAGTTTAAAAAAAAAAATAAAAATAAAAAGATTAGCAAATGATTATTAGCAAAAAAAAATATGAATCAAATTTTATGCTACGCGCTAAGTAAAGTTCCTCGTAAGTTTATCACATTTTAATATTAATCGCCCCATTTAATCATTTTTTCACTGTCGCCAAATTATTTTCTTTAAAATAATTAATTTTAATTTTTCTCATCTTCTAATAAATAAAAACAGTTTAAACTTTAGATTTTTCAATTGAAAAATATGTAGATTAATATGGTATAAAAAAATACATACCTTATAATTCAACATTTTTTTCATCCTCACATAAATTTAATAATAAATAATTATTAAAAATTATTTTTTTCATGAAATAACCTTTGTGTAAATGAGTTTTATGAGTAGGTGAAATTTTTTTTTTAATTACTTCATTAGTTCTTAAAATATGACTGAAAACTCAAAAAGCGAAATTAACATTAAGGGGTCTAAACTTTGAATCGATCTCCTGACCAAACTATGGGGACCACATTTCCAAGATCACGGCTACCCTATATTTTGATGATAAGGAACCTAAATATGCAAAAAAAAAATTTATGTTTATTCAGAGAAAGTACGTTATTGGGTCTGATTTCGTTACTTAATTAATAGTTATCACTAATTAATTATCATATTTGAGGTCACCCCCAGGAACCATTAAGATTGACACTTAGTTCGTGAAATTCCGATCATTAGAACGAAAGTTATTCAGGGTGATATATTTTTTTTTTTGCGGACTGTACATATATCGATGTACATATAAATGTACATGCATGCATTTTATTTACGCAACTATGTGCATATATTGTTCCTTTAAACAACATTCTTACATATTGTACGTAAATTCGTACAATTTTATATACATACGTACATTGCATATACGTGCTATTATCGTAAATTTATACAATGTATGTACTTAAGTACATAAAAACATGCAAACTTATAAACATTATTTTCATATACGTTCATACATATATTGTCTATGTATACAAAGATACAAAACATTGCATTTTCGTTCAAACTAACATACATGCGTACATGTTTCATAAATGCATAATTATATGTACTAAGCATATACGTATTGAATTAAGTATATTACAATATAATTATGTATATTGTGAGTACAACGTTTGTGCATACATCGTATAGGAATCACAAATTTTACGTTCATGCGTGCGTACATTCTATGTACATAAAAATATGCAAACTCATAAATACTTACATAATGAATTTGCATATAGTATACAATCGTAATAACTTGTAATCGTATAGTTTGATTACATGTAATCATATATTATGATTACTAGTAATCACGATTACAAGTAATTGATTACTGTAATTAATATTGTAATCATGATTACAGCCGTAATCAAAATTTTTGAAAATTGTAATCATGATTACAAGTAATTGATTACTGTAATCGACTATGTAATCATGTTTACAGCTGTAATCAAACTTTGTAATCATGATTTCATGTAATTGAAAAATGTAATCGATTACATTTTCGCTCTACTCTGATGTAATCAAAAATTTTGATTGCTTGTAATCGTGGTTACAAGTAATTGATTACACAGCTGTAATCAATTACTGTAATCGACGGCCAACTCTGATCGGTGCAACATCACCAAATTAACAGGGGCCTCCCTGGCCGAGCGGTATCGCCGGTCCAAGCGCTCTGTTAAGCGTGGAGGTAGCGGGTTCGAATCCCGCCGTAACCCTGGATGTATTCTTTGTGATGTCTTTCTCTGAATTGTTCTATCTGTATTTTCTACTTGACAATGACTTATAAGCCTATATTGAGCACACAAGTCAGCAAATGTATGTAATTTCAATAAATCAATCATCAACCAAATTAACAACTGACACTATGTTCATGCTTTTTAAAACGTGTTTCTGGAGAGACTTAAATCCTATGAAGAAATAAAATAGTTTTGAAAAACAATTTATATATGAGTCTGTACAAAAAAGTAAGAAATAAAAGATTGCGGGTAAAAATCGAGTCCATATAGTCTTTCCAGGTATTATGTTCATTTTATATAAAGTTTATCTTTAAATGTGTTACAAGAATTTTTAAGGAAAGGAGATGGATAGTCGTTGGTTCATTTGGATTTATTATTCAAAAACCTTTAAATCTGCTATTTTTTTTAATTTTATAAGAAATTCTTACAACATATTTTATCATAAACTTTATATAATATGAGCATAATACCAGGAAAATTAGCTGAGACTACATAAACTCGATTTTTATAAGTTGCGCGCAATACTTCATTAAATACTTTTTCGTGCAGAACCATAGACAACTTGTTTATTTTTTTACAAAAAAAAACTTTTAAGTCATATTATTTAAATTTTTTTAATATTTTTATTAATAGATCAGTTAGCGGAGCTTCAAAAATGGTCTCTGGCTCGATTGTTATGTGAAACAACTAGATTAAATCAGATACGTCTGAAGCCATTTACCTTGCCTAACATTAGGTCAGTAAAAATTTAATTCTGAAACAGTCTTAAAATAAACCTGGTAACGTCGCTTTTCTATGTACAAACTTTTTCTATTTTAATCTGGTCGAAAGCAGATTTTATTGCCATTGTCAATGTAAGAGGGCAGTTAGTGACCGAATGGCATTCGAAAAAACTCGTAATGTTCGCCAGTTTTGCAAATGTCAGACAAAAATGGTATTAAACGCTGATTTAACATCCATTTTACAATTAGAACGTTTTCTTAAGGTGCGTTTAATCAGATATTTCATTGGGTGCGGGTCTATTTTGGTGACGGAGTTGATAGCATGCGAAAAATGAACAACTCGTCTTGGGAGGGCTTCCATGGAAGCTGGATCTGCTCCACGATGAAAGCTGGATCGTTACTGGAAGTCATTTAAAGTTGCTTATCATACATCTCTACGGGCTTAAATAAAATGAAAAACTTTCTGGGAACACAAAACGTCAATTAAAAACCTTTCTGCAGGCTCTTGTAACTCATTTCAACCCTTCCGTCGCCATGGAAATTCTCATCATGGAGACATTTTTTTAAAAATCGCGTTTTTTTTTTAATGTTCCAGTTTTATAGAACTCTACATTGGTTCATACTACAGAGAGAAGCAAAAAAAAAAAAATTCAAAAATTTTATGTGTAAAAATACTTTTTAAATAATTGGAAGAAAAAAAATACCTGAAATTTGAACAAGAATGTATGAAGCATTTATCAACAGAATGTTATCAACGTCTTAATAAACACATCGATGTAAGTACTTTGTTTAAATTGTGTGAATCTCAACGTGCGATTTTTAAATCACGCGAATACAAATCTCGTCATTCAGTTTTAAAATCGCGTGAATACCAATCTCGATGTTTGATTTTCAAGTAGTGTTGATACGAATCACGATGTTTTGACTATTAAGAGTTAAATTCCCTGACAATTCCAGGTTCTCCCTGACCTGTGGGAGCCCTGCATATTATACAAGTCTGCTTCTTCTATAACATTAGATAAAGAGCTCACTAGAAATTTAATTCAGTTAAATTTAAAAAAAATTTGTAATATACAATTTCTAACAATGTCTGTTGCATTTCAGAAATCCTTTGGTGCATTGTAGATCATTTCCACCAATGAATTTTGAAGCATGGAAAGATACCTATTGATGCAAATAAAAATCTGAAATCTGAGCATTTATTACTCTCTCTTTTAGGTTCAAAAATAAACAATGAATTTTAACACTATCAGGGTGCGCAGTCAAATTTTTCAGCAAAAAATAGGCACATTTGAAGTACTTTTTAAGCACTCAAAAAAAATATTATAATTAGGATATGCGCACTAATAAATTTTTTTCCTTCATAGTGTTGAAAGTTCATATATATATTTAACAAAATAGTTTTCTAAGTTACATGACCATGATAAAATAACTTGTTTCTTACAAAGAATTTTTTTTCGTGATTATATTAGCCACCATAAAAACAATTTATGGGCAATTTTAAATACATTCAATACTGAGTGAATCATTAAATTTATAATTACTTTACACAATCATGTAAAAAAATTTTTATTCAAAATTATAAATAATTAATTTAACTATTATTTAAAAAGATTATCTCTCTTGCAAAATGCAGCAGAGTTGCTCATGAGAATGCATGAATCCTTCCCACCGAATCCAACTCAGTATTCGAACCTGCAAGTACTTGATAAAATGATTGGCGCTTTCATACGCTACAGGGTATGTCGAAATAGATTGTGGTTGAATGAATCGTGAAAACGTTGAATAGAACATGGAAACCACGCTTTTTGTGTAATTCGAAGCAAAAAGTGATATGGTTAAGAAAAAAAATCTCATTTTGGAAAAGGGAAAATTAAGCACTTTTTAAAAACACCAAATGGAAAAAGCACCTAAAAGGGCTTTTAAAAACGAAAGTAAAAAATAAGCACCTTTAAGAACTTTTTAAAAACGCTAAGCACCCTGACTATGTTATTATCTATATCTATTGCACCATAAACATTTTAAAATAAGAAATAAAAATAAATTTTTACCACAAAAATTGAACCAANTGTAAAAAAAATGTTATTCAAAATTATAAATAATTAATTTAACTATTATTTAAAAAAAGATTATCTCTCTTGCAAAATGCAGCAGAGTTGCTCATGAGAATGCATGAATCCTTCCCACCGAATCCAACTCAGTATTCGAACCCGCAAGTACTTGATAAAATGATTGGCGCTATCATACGCTACAGGGTATGTCGAAATAGATTGTGGTTGAATGAATTGTGAAAACGTTGAATAGAGCATGGAAACCACGCTTTTTGTGTAATTCGAAGCAAAAAGTGATATGGTTAAGAAAAAAATCTCATTTTGGAAAAGGGAAAATTAACCACTTTTTAAAAATACCAAATGGAAAAAGCACCTAAAAGGGCTTTTAAAACGAAAGTCAAAAATAAGCACCTTTAAGCACTTTTTAAAAACGCTAAGCACCCTGACTATGTTATTATCTATATCTATTGCACCATAAACATTTTAAAATAAGAAATAAAAATAAATTTTTACCACAAAAATTGAACCAATAGCTTATTCTCAAAACACAGATTTATGACGCAGGAAATGTGCAAGCATAAAAATTTCCAGATATTGAAGATATTTTACAAAATTGCTTTTAGAAAGTGACACAAAAAATCATCAATAAGTCATATAAAATTTATTAGACAATACATATATCATTAAAAAGAGCAATATGGTTTTAAAAACATAAATAGAATTATAGAACAAACAAAAATGTATGAAATTCTTATATAAATGAAACATAATCCAGTGTGTGATACAGTTTCAGTAAAGGATGAAAACTAGAAATAAACAAAACAAAGGTAATTGGAATGACATAAGTGAACGAAAAAAAAAATGACTTTGTTTAAAGGACAAAATATCAAACAAAGAACAATTAATCTCAAGCAGTTTAAATTTAACTTGAAGGACAGTATAATTTTCAAAACTCAATATTTAAGGAAGAAAAGAAAAAAGGGAGAATAAATTGGAAAGTTATGCTTTTAGAAAAGTCTGAGAATACTTTTGGTGAAATATATTAAATTAATCACAGCTAGGATTGGGCATTTTAAAACAACTGAGACTTTTGTAAAGGCTGTTTCTCCAAGGCAAGCTTTCTCTTTTAGTAAATAATATGCTATTTTTATAACTATTATTCATGACTGTTAGGTCAAGCTTTGTCTATCTTAAGTCTTTGCTAATCATGAAAATAGTGCAAAATGTCAATAAGAAAAACAATTTTGTGAAAAACTTAGTGCTAAGTTTAATAATTTTCTGAACATTTAAGATATCCGACCGTTCTAAAACTCGGCTAATTCTTTAAGGCAAGATAGTCCATTTAGTGTTTAAAATTATTACTTTGCTTCGAGTAAAAGACACTTAAACCGTAGTTATCGATTTTTTCCAAAAGGAAAGAGCTTTGAAAAACACCTTAAGAAAAAAGTTAGAAACAGAAATTTCAGAAGTATTAAAAAAAACTACAACTAATGTAGCCATAATATATTTTTTTAAAACTCAGATTACTATAGTTGCTTTGATTGGTATAACCAATTCAAGACTGGAATTGAAAATTGTGACAACTTCCTTGATTTTCTAACAGAAAAGAAACTGACAATTGGTTCATTTGTTCCGATACAGATAGTTAACTTTTCGTAAAGATTATGCCAAATTTAAAACTAGGCATTCTTTTTTGCCCAGTCTCATAATATGTCCAGTGTGATTGCTTTAAACAGAACAACGATTGACTTTAGCAATTACTGCAAAAACTAAAAGCTTAAGGTTAAACTCAGAAAAAAAATTAACATTATAAAACTAATGCCTGAAAAAAAAGTCTTTTAACTTTAAAATATATTTCATTCAAAGATTTAAGCTTTATCAATTAGAAATTATTGATTAGCATGCATGATTCAACAAATTTTAAATATCTAATTATAAAATCCTTGCAAGTTTATAAAAATATACATTATGATTTCCATTTTTTTAAAAAGGCAAAACATGTAGTGTAATTTACCTTTAAGCGAGATGAGTAATACAAAAATAATTCAAAAATAAGTACAGTTTTTTATAATAGGCAATTAATGTAACATAATAGTTGATAGATGCTTGAGTCTTTTAGAAAATTTCCCCAAACATGAGTTCTTTATTAAAATATATCTTCAATTGTAAAGTTCTAAGTATACCATACAAGACTACTAGATATAATTACAATAACAAAAATTTCAGAATAATTAATTTATGTAAACCAGTTAATCCGTTGGCTTATGTAAATAAACCAAAGGAATAGCTTCCAACAAAATATGTATTTTTAAAACAAACAGGACTGCTCATCAAACTGATAATGGCGGGGGAAGTTTTAATAACAATGAAAATACTTTAATAATTTTCCACAAGTCTGGTAGCAGAAGTCCCACAGTACTGTAGCAAATTACTTTTTCTCTAAGATTTAAAAGGAAAAAAAATTACTAAAAATCCTAAGAGGAAGCAAGAAAAAAAATCAAAAAAACTTTTTTTACATAAAATTATTTTTAAAAAAAAAAAAAAAAATTTAAAAAAAATTATTTTACAAATATATTGTTTAGTTATAGAATGGATCTTTATTTGAATATTTTTAAGTATTATACAGCATCAAATTCAAATTAAATCAAAAAATTTTGTGCCTAATTACTGTGCAAATTATAATCAATACACAAAAAGATTAAGCCTAATTTTTATCATAATTTTAAGCCTGATGTTTATTTAGTCAGACTGGGTTACAAGCAAATTTGAAGCTGCTAACTGACTCAAAAAATTCTGACTACCATAAGCAAGTATCTTACTAAGAATGAGTACATAAATTAAAGATTACAAAAATTATTTTATCTGTACTAAAAATTACTTAAAAGGTAAAGTAATACACTTATATTTAAAGTAAATACTGAAATAAGGTGAATGAATGCAGCTGCTTCCAAAAAATTAAACTTCATTTTAAACATATTTTAGTTTTGACAACAAACATAAGAACAAAAAATAAAATATTTTTAAGTCAAAATTAAGTCCCCTCTACACTATAGTAATAAAAAACATTTCTGAAAGTACAACAGTAAAACAATTTTAATTTAAGTTAAACACAATTACCTGTCAAATCATTAAACAAAACATTCAATACTTCAATCTTTGGTATGCTTGCTTCTATGGCTGTATATTAAGTTTGCGTTTTTCAGACAAATTAGACTAGTTTAAAATAAATTAGACTATTAGCATTCTGTATTAGTGTAAAATCTATAAGCTGTATGTATTCTGAAACATTTATATTACTAGACATCTTAAGTGATAGGTATAATTAAACAAAAAATTTGGTAAAAATATTTATGGATAATTCTATCAGTTGAAATTATATTATCAAACAGAATTTAAAGTAATTAAAAATNAATAAAATATTTTTAAGTCAAAATTAAGTCCCCTCTACACTATAGTAATAAAAAACATTTCTGAAAGTACAACAGTAAAACAATTTTAATTTATAAGTTAAACACAATTACCTGTCAAATCATTAAACAAAACATTCAATACTTCAATCTTTGGTATGCTTGCTTCTATGGCTGTATATTAAGTTTGCGTTTTTCAGACAAATTAGACTAGTTTAAAATAAATTAGACTATTAGCATTCTGTATTAGTGTAAAATCTATAAGCTGTATGTATTCTGAAACATTTATATTACTAGACATCTTAAGTGATAGGTATAATTAAACAAAAAATTTGGTAAAAATATTTATGGATAATTCTATCAGTTGAAATTATATTATCAAACAGAATTTAAAGTAATTAAAAATAAAAAAAAAACTAACAAGTTACAATACATCTTTAAATAATATAAGTATTACAACTTGTTTTCAGCACATTCAGAGGAGCCAATTTTCCAAAATAGCTTTTTATAATCAGAAGTACAATAAAACATATAACGTTAACAAAATTCAAACTAGTGCAATTCAAGGTGTTTTTACAGTTTAATCTTATATAGGTACATACTTCATGTTAATATTACGCATGAATTTATTATTAACTATAAAAAAGTAACACTGAACTATAATTTTTTTTCTGAATAAGAGTTGCAAACAACAAAATTTCATAACTCTCAGTTGTTAAGGAGAAAGAAAAAAAAAACTTAGCGTTAACAGAGTATGAAAATTTTGAAAAACCCTAATTTTCATAAATCAAAAGCAAGTACCCTTGACAATGAAATCGAAATAACTATGAACAAATTGTAATAGTTGAGACCACTGCACATTTAAGTATAAGAAAACAGAATATTTCTCATCAGTTAGCATGTATTTAAAAATAAAACAAAAGACTTGATTTAAGTTTAAATTCATACTTAGCATCATCAAAAATTAACTGTAAATTCCAATTTTATCTATTTTCCTTCTTTTTTTGAAAATGTTAAGTTTAATCTTTAACATTATGTTAGTTAGAAATAGAATCATTTCCCTAATACAAAAGTTAATCTTTACAAACGTTGGTAAAAAGTGTAAAATTTTTAAAAATTGTAAAGTGTTGACAAATAAAAATGATTTTAAAACTATTAATGCTCAATTCATTTTTATTAGCTACACGCAGAAGACATCCTTTTTTTAATAGTGGAGAAAAAACTTAAGTTTTGAGAGATTAAGACAAATAAAATAATTACCAATTCACATTTAAAATAGAGTAGTCCATAAGAAAATATATAAAATTCATACTAAAATAATATTTAATAAAATTATTTAGAAATACTATTCATTAGCAACAAAAAAATAAAAAGACTTTTCATATCTCTAGATTTTTTCACCAATGTATAATAATGTAAATTGGACATTGTTTGGTTTCATGTACAAATTTTAAATAACTTTTCAATTAAAATAAAGTACATTGAAGTAAAAAAATAAGATCTATTAGTATGTAGACAGGCATTAAATGGTTTAATTTTAAATGGACGGTTCATTCAATCAATTGCTTTAAAAACAAGCATCATTTAAAATACATCAAAAAATTTAAGTAAATCTTTCTATTAATAACAGGCTGAATAACCATAACTAACAAATACATATTACAAGGCACGTAAGGCATCAAAAGTAAGAAGGGTCGATGGGTCGTTCCATGTCAGTTCATCCAGCTATGGCAACCATCGTCTCAGATTTTGATCTCAAAAATATTAATAATACTGCAATTAGTAAAAAGGTTTGAAAGTTATAAGCATTTATGTGCCTCACAAAATGTCGTTATTCTGATTCATACATCAACGGCTATGATTAGCTGTAATTCCTCTAATATTTATCACAGAAAAAAAAACCTTTTTTTTTCAGTCAGAATAAAGTAATTTGTCAAACATAGTTTTAGACAAATAAGTAACCTAGTTCTAATTTGATTTTTTTTTTTTTTTTTTTATCATTGGAGTTTATTAACTCCAGCAGCTGATTTCATGCAATTCCCTTTAATTTCAAAAAGATTTTGGTTAAAAATAGTTAGTTGAAAGTGCACACTAATATCCGATTAAATAAAAATTTAGATGGTCAGTTCACAGATACTTTTTTTTTTTTTAAATTTTGAAATTGATAATAGATTTCTTTCTATATGCCAAAGAAATAAAGATTTCTTAAAAACATCAAAATTTCTGTTGATAAGTTTTTAAAAAATTAAAAACTTGACATAATGTTGGTAATTAAAAAAATATATATATTAACTTAAAAACTTTCAATACTATTCAGGCATCTGTGTGTTACAGGTAGAAGAATATTTTTCACACTGTCTACACACTAAAATATTTCCCTCATCATTGAGCTTGTTTGTTCTTCCTATTGCGGTATTAATGCCTAACTAAACGCCAATAATATGTGGGGGGAAAAAAGAGCTATTTCTTCTTTAATAATATGAAAGGGATGAGCTTTTTATAATTTTAATGTGGCTGATGAAAAAAAAAATGCCTTTTATATTACAGAGGTGATTGTGAGCCAAACTCAAAAATCTTCAAAGTTTCTTGAGTAAAATAATTAGTGACGCATTTCAAAAAATTAATGCCTTTATAAATATAAATCATTGATATTTTCAAAGCACAGAATTCTAAATAAATTTCATGCAGCATAATTTAAATGAATAATTACGTATAAGTTTACTTTTATCTCTAATCACATTTATTATTCTACCAGAAACAAATATTTTCAAATGAAAGAGATACCAAGTATAAATATTCTAATATTTTTAAATAAAATATAATAAATATTCTTATATTTAAAAAATATAGATATAGTTTTTTTTTTGTTTTAGAGTTTCAGTTAAAAAGAGTTTTTTAAAAAAAGAGTTAGAGATTTCGTGTAACTTCTGGACCTTGGATTTCCGGAAACTTCCGGATCGCGGTTCGCAAAAAATACAAAAATCCGGATTTTTTCCGGAGCATAATCATCTCTGATATTATCATTACAGCATTCATACAACATGTTTGCATTTGATGATTCTGTAATGGTCTTAGCAAGCATGCTTACAAAACAAGCCTTTGCGAACAGTTCCCCCTATTTCATCACAATTTTTATGGCTAAAGACATAAAAATTTAATTTTGCACCCTATAAATCAAGAATATGGTATAACAAGTTTTTAAAAAAAAAAATTTTATTGATAAGTTCAGCATGCGTAACATACAGAGTGGAAACTAAGTAGATTCATGGTGCTTTACGTATAACACAACTGTGTGTCAAATGTAACAATTGTGGGTCTAATGATAGCTTTTTGCTTCATTTTAAAGTATAATAAATTTTTAACAACATTTTGATACATTGTAATACTGATGTAAAAGTTGCTCCACATATGTGAGGAATATAGTTATTTTCTAAATTGCTTTTAAATTAAACAAGTTCTATACACCCAGAAGAAATTCTAAAATCTTCTAAAAAGGAATCGAATGCTGCACAATACTTGGGTTTCAAGAAAAAAAACTCCTTTAGAATACCAAATTAATATTTTTAAAAATTTGAAAAATGTTATTCAATTCTGTTGTTCTGAAGGAAAAGAAAGGAAATTCTGTTGAACTGAAGAAAAAAAAAGATTTACAAACAATCTAGTATCTGCAGATAAGAAAAATGAGTTGACCTTGTTGGGGGGGTTGGAGAGACAGAAGTTACGTAAAAACAAAATTGGGCAAACATAATTACAATAAAAGAATTACAGAAAATACACAGACTATGAGATAAAATAAAAACAAATTACCAACAGAAGACAATTCGTGATGTAAAATCTTTTTATTTAACAGTGTTTTAAGTGAGTTTCTTGAGTTAAGTGAGGAGAAACTAATTACCATAAAATCACTGAGAGAAATAAAGGGATAAAATTAAGAATAAATATTCATAAGGTATTCAATTACATTTTAAGAATCAAATAAAATGTTAGAACTGAAAACAAAGGATGTAGTGATTTTCTCTTGGTAGTATGTTTTATAAATTCTGAATTTCACCTCCTTTTTTTCTTCTTCTCTTAGTGAAGATAGGAGTGGACACTGATCGAAAAAAAAATTTTAATGGATACTTTTTTATTATTTGGTATAGCACTCTATTCTTTCAGAAAAGGAATGGTTAATCTTTCATTGACCAAAGGTATAGGATTCTATGTCTAACGAAAATGATGAACGAATTTCAGATTTTTCTTTTTTTCTCTCTCCCTTAAAAAAGGACACAAAAAAATTGAGTTTATTTCATAATTTATTACCTTACTTTGTTTTTCCCATAATTTTATACAACTTTAGTTACAATCAATCCATAAAAATCACCTATTTAGAAATACTTTTAATGCATGGAAATTCATAAAAAAAAATTGTGTGAATCAAAATGGCGGCAAACAAGCAATTTTCACAAAAATATAAATACCTATAACTTTTGAACCCATTTATTAATGCAAAATGATGTTATCATTGGTATTTTTGAGATCAGCTTCAAAAATTCTTTAAGTGTACAAATTTTTATTAAAACGTGAGATGGCGGGTTGCCATTTTTGAAAAATTCTGATGATTTGACATGGAATGACCCAAATGCAATTTCTGTAAGAGCAGGGATCAACACTACCATTCAAAACACATTTTCACACATTATAAAAACATTCACAGATCATCAGGTAAAAAGTGATGAATTATCACAAAACACTTATGAATTTAAAAAACGAATACACCAATTTCATAATCCACTGCTAGTAGTAAAAGGAATTGCAACTAACCTCCATGAAGAGCATAGAGTGGAATAAAATGTTAAGTGACATTTTGAGAAAGTCAACTTTGAACTGTCAATTCAGCAAGGTAACATCATTCTAAGCTCTTTAACCTCAATTAAAAAGATTTAGAATGAAATAATATTTTAATAACTTTGAGAAGGTCAGCATTATAAATTATACATTGGAATACATATACATTGGAATTCCACTTCAGGCTTTTCAATGACAATGGAAGAGTTTAGAGTGGAATAACAAGCTATGTGACATTTTAGTAACTTCGACAAAGTCAGAAAATGCAAGAAAACATTAAAAATATATTTATGAAACTTCTCCTTTAATTGATAGCTGCAATATTATAGTTGCACAGTTATACATTGCATAATAAACAAATGTTCATTAGACCATGATTTATTCTTTAACTCTAAATATAAATGACAGTCAATATGCTTTCAAAATGCACTAGACATGGCAAACTGCCAAAATTGAAGATCTTGAGATTTTTCCGCACGAATAATATAAAGGTGTGGCATAATAGACACATTTTTTTATCAATAATTAATAAAAAAATAAAAAAGTAATAAAATATTTTAAAAAAATTAATTAGAAATGTGAATTAAACAAAAACATTGTTTATGCTGAATTAATAATGATGTATTACAAATTAAACAAAAAAGGAAAACAAAAGTAAAATCATATTATAGATATAAGTTAGTAAATTGCTACATGATAAAACTGTATTGATTACAGAATTCTTAATTCAATATAATCATAATACATATTCAAAAGTGAAAAAACAAATGTGAACAATTTTATGAAAATGTTTTCTCATTTCCAATATAAAAATCACATATTTTGTTAAAATTTGTATTTTAAATTAATACTTTTTTCATCAAATTTGTTGAATCATGCATTAATAATTTTGAAATGAAAAATATACATCTTAACACTTATGAGAAAAGTAAATTAATATGTGTTCAATCAACTTATTACTTTCACAATTATTTGAATGAAGTATCAAACTAAATTGTTTTTAAATTAAATGATGAATGAGACTAAATAAATTTTCATAATTTCAAAAAATATTAAATTTGTTATAGCAATAAAATATCAGGAAAATGAAAGGACTTTTCTCAATAAAATGAATAAAAAATACTGAAAACTCAAAATGTCACTTTTCATGTTCTTCCACTAAGCTCTAATAATTCATAAAAATGATTTTTGAATTTTGTTTTAAAAAATATCGACACATCAAAGAGTGACGACACCATCATCTTCAGATGCTGCAGGTTTCTCCGGCGTGTCCTGACACATAGATTGAGTATGGTCCCTGATCTCATCCTCTTCATAGTGATCATCATCACTAGGTAGAGATTGATTGGAATGTTGAGAGCCATGCGACATTTGCGAAGAATGACCTACAGAACCACGCCGAGGGAAACCAACATTTGATTGATTTGCAGGCCGGATCGTGATAATTAAATTTGAAGAATTAGCTACCATCATATCAGTTACTTGGTCTAAAGTTTTTCCAGCTACCTCAATTCCATTTACTTCTAAAACTTCATCATTAACAGCTAAGAGACCAGTGCTCTCTGCGAGACCTCCAGGCACCAATCGGGAGATAAATATCCCAGGTACTTTTTCTAAACCATGAGGTGTGACTCTCACACTCGTACCATCCCTGATGTAAAAACCCAATGGCTTATCAGAGCCATGTTTCACAAGTCTTACCCTACGACACGTCTCTGGAACTACGTCGACATCAATGATTGAAGACACTTGCCTGAAATCTTCGGGAAGGCTGATCGAAATATGAGGACGGTTTTTAGGCACCACAGATGGCAATAAGTATTGACCCAGAAATTTTTTCTTTTTACTTGTTCTTCCGTATCCATTCAACTCTTCACAGCTCTCTCCTGAAGAAATAAAACATTTTAATAAATTTGAAAATGGCTAGACATTAAGAATTTTATAAAATCACAAAAAATAAAAACAAATTCAAACTTCCTCAACTACTAATTATCTGCACCATTATAAATATAATTTAAATAATCTGTACATTTACAAACAAATATGAACGTCTTTACGTTTATACTTAATGAGCAGTATCCTCTAAAAATAATTGGATATTAATAAATTATTCCTATGACATTTCATTTTTTTTAAAACAAGAAATACATTATAATTTGTCAAATGTAGCACAATATAGGTTTCAAAATATTTTAAAACAATAATTTTTATTGTATAACTTTTTTGTTATGTCTTCTTAAAACTTAAACTAAAGTTTTTATGGAATATTTAAATTTTATTTTAGGTCAAATTATACCTTCACTAATTAGTTAAGAAATTAAGGGAAAAATATATTTCTCTAAAATTTAAAGCACATTAATACTTAATCATATGAAAATTATTGGATTTCATATGGATACTATGTAGGGAAAAATCTAACACGTGGGTTTGAATGTAACCCATTAATAACTATTAATATTTTCTTTAGATATTTTATGATTTTTTTACTATGAGAGATAAATAATAGCGTAGAATACTTATGTATTTCTAAAAATATAAATTATAATAACATTTTCACAATTAAGGTAAAAAAAAGCCTTGCATTTGGATACCTGCCGTTTTCAGGATCAGGACCATTGAAGTCCCCTCCCTTCAAAAAAAATTCTTTCATGACACAGTCCTCAGTAATAACAAAACATATTTAAATACATAGCTTTTAGAAAATGATAAAAGAAATTTTTCAGCACAAAAAATATGAAAATGACAGATTCTCATTTTTACTAAATAAAGAAACAAAAGCAAAATTGTCTTCCGTATTAAATACTATTGGATAATAAATTAGGTTTGTTGGTTAATAATATAATACAACCAAGTGAGAAAGAGAATATTAAATAGCTGAATAATTTAGTCTCATAAAATAAAACAAATACAATTATAGAATTAAATGAAGAACATTAGGTAGGTATAGCATATAAGAAACTTTTCAGGAGAAATTCTGTCACTGGTATGATGAGCCCCGTGGCAGAATTTTTTCGGTCTTTCTGAGACTAAACTCTCTAGCAATAATATCTTTCTGCAAGATGTTTTCAATAATAACAAAGATGTATGCACTTTCAATAATAACATTAAGGGAACAAAAACGTGTTTACAACAAAACAATCTAATTTTTTTAAGTGAATATGAAATAATTTTTTTATTCTAATATTGTAGGGGATATTCTCGCATTTTATTGGGGAGGGGAGCACGCCAATTATTTCCTTTATCGCATTTTATAAATCATCACATTAAAAAAAAAAAAATCATGAAATCGGTAGCAGTAATCACCGAAAAACAGATCTACAACGAAATCATGCCAATCGAGACTCTTTAGAAGGGGTTACTCAAATGTCTGTTACATTTCAAAATTTGATTGTTGTAATAAATAATATCGTAAACAAATAATGGGTTTTAAAAACAATGTGGACATCAATAGCAATAACTGCCACACAAAAAACTCAATAGAATCATTGCCTTATAAAGTAAATGATCAAATGCACAATTCGAATTTCCCATATTGCCTGAAATATATTTGGAAATCTAAAAGCCATGTGTGGAAATCAATGTCAATAACTGACAAAAATACATTAGAAATGGATTTACGATATTGGTGTAAATTGAGGGCTTCAAAAAGTGATTATTTAAATGCGTGATTCAAATTTTATGTGCAAATTTCTGCAGAAAAGCAAAGCAAAAAATTTTACTTCCCAACAGAAAAATCTTTTTGCAAGAACTATGTAACATTTTGTGACAATGTCACCATGTCGCTGCGATTCTGCCATGGGGTTGAGAGATAATCCAGGCCTTGACTCCCTTACTACATAATCCAGAGTTATCTTGTCATGATTTGTTTTCGCTTTGAAACAATGAAGAGGTGAGCAATTGGGAAAACTATATAAAAGCTTATACTCAACTAACAGAAAATGGTTAAAAAATCCATTAATTGTGTTCATGGGTGACACTCCAAAAACATTTTTTAAGACTGAACTTGTTTTTTGACCCATTAACACAGAGTAGCGCTATTTTGAATATTTTTTTCAGAAATTTATATCAGACTTTTTATGAGAATGGTAAAGATATTAAAGTAAAGATAGNCATTAAAAAAAGAAAAATCATGAAATCGGTAGCAGTAATCACCGAAAAACAGATCTACAACGAAATCATGCCAATCGAGACTCTTTAGAAGGGGTTACTCAAATGTCTGTTACATTTCAAAATTTGATTGTTGTAATAAATAATATCGTAAACAAATAATGGGTTTTAAAAACAATGTGGACATCAATAGCAATAACTGCCACACAAAAAAATCAATAGAATCATTGCCTGAAATATATTTGGAAATCTAAAAGCCATGTGTGGAAATCAATGTCAATAACTGACAAAAATACATTCAAAATGGATTTACGATATTGGTGTAAATTGAGGGCTTCAAAAAGTGATTATTAAAATGCGTGATTCAAATTTTATGTGCAAATTTCTGCAGAAAAGCAAACCAAAAAATTTTACTTCCCAACAGAAAAATCTTTTTGCAAGAACTATGTAACGTTTTGTGACAATGGCACCATGTCGCTGCGATTCTGCCATGGGGTTGAGAGATAATCCTGGCCTTGACTCCCTTACTACATAATCCAGAGTTATCTTGTCATGATTTGTTTGCGTTTTGAAACAATGAAGAGGTGAGCAAATTGGGAAAACTATATAAAAGCTTATACTCAACTAACAGAAAATGGTTAAAAAATTAAAAAATCCATTAATTGTGTTCATGGGTGACACTCCAAAAACATTTTTTAAGACTGAACTTGTTTTTCGACCCATTAACACAGAGTAGCGCTATTTTGAATATTTTTTTCAGAAATTTATATCAGACTTTTTATGAGAATGGTAAACATATTAAAGTAAAGAAAGATAACTTTTTCCTTCATTTCATTATATTTTTTACAGTATTAAAAAAAAGGGAGAAAAAAAAGAAAAAGAAAAAAACATTTTTTCACCTATTGCTAAAATACACTACTAATTTTTTCTTGGAGCTATGCATATTTCTACTTAATTTACACTTCATCATCATTAATACTTTGTCATACGTCTATAAATTTGATACTTTAAGAAAATAATCTTAGTTTAACTTTGCCCACTATCTCAAAGTGTTGGGGGGGGGGGAATACAAACTCAAGCAGATTCAGATTTAAGACTATTTTGTTTAGACAAGATGTTGAAAATCGATCTATCATATTCTTTCATTATGGTGTGAGATCCTTACTTGATCATTTTGCAATAATTATTAAAAACAATGTTTTCATAAATAGCATTAATTTCTTTATTTTTAACAGAAAATAATAATTACATTCTTAAAGAAAAAGTTAAATTTGTAAATAAAAATTTAATTTGAAAATAAATATTTATTGGAGGCCTCAAGACTGATTTCAGTGGCATCTGTTATTACATTTTTAAAGAAGGAACAATTACCCTTTTTTATAGAAGAAACATTTACCCTTTTTTTGGATGATTAATCTAAGAAGAGGCCAAGCAGAGTTAATGGCTCGAGCTAAATTATCATCATTATTGATGGGTAAAAGATCTCCATGGATTGGATCAGTGTAGCATATAGTGAATGGTATTTCGTGAAGCTTGTGGAATTTTTCAACCAAATTTGAAAAATCTTCAAACGTTGAAAGTTGAGATCGATCCAACACAAAACGTCTAAACTCAGCATCTAGCTACAAAGAAGAAGGAAGACAAATTATTAAACAATCAAAGACAATTTACTTCTGAACTAAGAAATGATTTGATGTTCCGTTTTGAAAGCAATTGAAGGAGAATTAAAAGTTTCCTTTTAACCAGCAATAATCCAATAAATAATCCATCATTTGTTTAGTATTTCTGTTCCGTACTACATTAAAATGTTTATGCCAAATAGCAAAAAGTAGAAAATTAAATTTGGAAATTAATTTTTAAATTTATTTTTAAGTTTCTATTTTTTGCTCATTTAATTTGAAAATTAAGAATTTTAAAAAAAATTAACAGCAATGTATTGAACATATTATGAAAAGGTCATGGGTCATTTTCTCAATTGAACTTTTGCATCCTTAAACAATATTCTTAAAATAATTTGTATATACAGTACAGAACCCGTTATCCGGAAATCAGAAAACCGGAAAACCAAAAAACCGGAACGAAATTCGATAAATTTTCCCGCATTTTTTATTAAAAAATGTTTTTTTCCTCATAAGATTTTAGGATTTTTCTTTCTTTTTTGAAAGATGTTTACCTTACCATCATTTTGGAAATAATCATTAGTGTATTACTTCATCGTTTTTTCTTCTTTTTAAGATTATTTCCAAATTATTTTTTTTTAGTTGGGTTTAACAATATAAAAAAAAAAACGGCTTTTTGTAGCGATTCAGAAAACCGGAAAAATCAGTTATCCGGAATAGCGATGGTCCCAATCGTTCCGGATAATCGGTTCCCTACTGTATTATTCTACATAACATTTTGTATGTGCCCCTTACCTTTTGTGTAATTAACGTGTCAAGAACAAAAAGTGCCAATAAAACACTGCAGGTGGCTTTAGCTGAATGGAAAATAATTTTCAGGAAATAACAGACACTCTTCTCCACAGAACAACTAAGTTTAATTACAATTTTTAAAATTCAATTTGTATTCAAATTTTTAATTTTAATTTTGCATCTTTCCTTATAAAATAACATGCTTTGAAGTGTAGAAAATTGTTTACCTCATAATTCAAAGTTTTTATTAACTATTATTAAATAAAGTTTCTTTCTTTTTTTAATTTCTAATGGCAAAAGAAAATGACAAACTCTTACAAAAACAGTGAATAAAATTATTAAATAAAGTAATAAAAAATATTTAATAAAATTTATTTTTGCATGGAATTATCTTTGGATAAGCGAATTTTATAATTGCGTGCAAAATTTTTCAATTCATTTAAAAAGTTCTTGAGGTATGGCAAAATATGCAAAAAGTAAAATTAACTGATCTTAAGTAATGGGGCCATTATGGGGCAGATTCCCCCTATATTTTGGGGGCCAGAAATTTGAATCAAAAAATTATATGTTCATTCAGAAAATATGTTTTTGTGTCCTATATCGTAACTTAAAATATTATCTGCACTAATTAGCATATTTGTGGTCACCCCTGAAACACTTAAGATTGAGTACAACAATATGTGAAGACCCAATCATTAGATCAAAAGTTATACCGGGTGGTGTGTTATTATTTATTCAGTAATTTTTATTGCGCACTGTACAATCCTATTTCAAGAGGTGATGGTATAAAAATTTGATTTTTCTCGGTTTCTAAGTGTATTTGTAAACAATACATTATTAAAAAAATTTTGTTGCATTGATTTTTTCAACTTTTCATTTCTATATTTTTCTAATATCTATTGTCATTCACTTCTTGAAGTGAATGTTAATAGAATAAAATAATGTTTACTTGGCATTTCTTTCTCACCAAATTTTTAAAACATGACGTTTAATACACCTAATAATCATCAATATATTAACACTCCAGAGAAAAACAAGTAATTTATAATTAACGTAAAATTAAATCCGAAAATAACAACTTGGGATTATTAAAATTTTAAGCATTTAATAATCATGACATTTCCGATACTAAAATAAAAGGTTTTATTATTTATTTGCTTAGCATAAAGGAAAAGATATCCAATTCAAATAAGTTATAATAGTTGAATTCCAAGCGTAACAGAGGGGAAATCACACAAGTATTTTATTCTAAAAAATATATTAAATATATCTGAAAACAAAATATTGTGCAAGAATATACTACTTTAAGGTGCAATGTTTAATTAATTGGCATAAAACAAGAGCATCATAATCAAACTGCAAGTTAATTTAAAGTGCTTGTAACAGAGAGGACTAAATAAAATCCTACATTTTTTACATGCACTGTTATTCACTCTAAATTCTGTTGATTTGAACCATCTTAAACATTATTTGTAATTTTTATTTTTAAATTATCATATTTCAAGAAAAAATAAATTATTATAAGACTTTTAAAAATTAAAAACACATTATTAAGTTGAAATAATGCATTGTAGCAGAGGACGTCTTACAAATGTGACAAAAAGTTAACCTTTTCCAGGGGGCTGTGACAGCAGTTGTCACATCTGATCTTGGGGTTTCGCTGGCGGGCATGTGACACTTTCAGCTTAAGAATAGGGTAAGGAATCTCCTCAGTTAAGACAGAAGATCAAGTTACAGGGGGGTGTGTCTTATTCTATTAGTCACTAGGGGAGGTCTCACCTTTTTAAGCTAAGGGGAGAAAAGTTTCTTTGCCTTTCCCACCTACCTCCTTCAAACGTCTATTCCAAGTTTAGGTACTTTTTTGTTCGTCTGCCGTTTTCTTACTACCTTTTTAGTCAGTTTTAAGTAAATTAAATCAAATTGAAATAAAATATCAAAGCATTATTATAGTTTATAATTTTTTTAAGAAATCTTAAAAATTTATAAAATAAAAAGAATTTATTTGCTAACATAATTTTTAATCGAAATGATCTTGCTTTCTTAAAAAGAGAGGATCTTTCAAATTAGCTGGGAGCTAGGGCAAAATTATCCTCATTTAACTAGCTGTTTTATTTCACTATTATTATCAATAATAATAAAAATAATAAATAAATAAATGACTGATGAGTGAAGAGAAGATTTATTATTTATTGAAGCAGAGCTCATTCTAGGCAGAAAAAAGGGCAGGGTGCAAATGTTTAAAGAAAGGGCATTATTATTCTTAAAGGGCAATAATTTCTTTCTATGAACTTTTCACGTTCTATGAAAGAACATTGTCATTTAGTGAAAGAAATTTTTTTTACTTTACTAACAGTAGCAAAACAATCATATTTACTAATTTTTATTAATAAATTAACATATATATCGATTTATTGACCTAATTAACTTAGTAATTTATTTAAAATGCTTGCATATATTAATAAAATAATAAATGTATGTTTTTAAGTGTCTGTAGTTATGATTTAATAACTAAATTGATTAATAATAATTATGATTTAATGATAGTGGAAGCAATTGCAAACTTTCTAAGACAAGTGCAACAAGGGGGTGTGGTGGCTATTTTTCCTTTCCTATATTTTCCCTTTTTCTATGTATTGACAGCAATGACAAACTAAATAAAAAGAGTTGAAAATTTAAGGAATCCATTGTACAGTTTGGAGAAAAAATAAAGAAGGGTCGAGGAAAGAAAGGGTTTAGAGTCTATTACATCAGGGGCAACAGGGTGGATTCTTTTGACTAAAAGGGCAACAGGGTGCTGCGCCCTGTTTACCCTGCCTAGAATGAGCTCTGATTGAAGTGACTGGTATTTTTCATAAGTTGATAGATGAAAAAGATGAAAATAAAATAATTCAGCCAAAGAGTTAATATCAAATTAAATTTCCTATATTTTCTTCCATCGGCTATGACTTAAATCCCTTCACTAATAACTCAGACTCAAGAGACCTGTCTACAAAAATATGACATTACAACGATTTATGCTCTTTTCCAAGATTTCTATAATCTTTTGATAAGATATTAAATTTTCAGCAATGTTACAAATATTTGTGTAAAATATTGTTATTTATAATGTTTAATATATATTTATAATTAACTAAATTAAGACCACGAAAAAGAACCCCTTATGCATATAAGAATAGAATCAAAGAAAAATCGATTTTACTCGCGAAAAAAAAAAAAGGTTTTTCTGCAATATGACCCAATTTCACTGCATGATAACTCAGGAAAAACTGATTTCACACTTAAAACATGTTATACTGATATAAATAACGCCTGAAACTGGTATAAATAACGCCAGCAATACCAAACTGAAATTTTCAAAACTGAATTACCTGTTGAAACAATATCTCAAGGAACAAAGTTTTTTTTAACTATTCCTCAAATGCGTAATAATATTTTTACATTTTAAACAGTAAAATGATTAAATGTTTAATAATAATACGTTGCAAGTATTAATGTAAAACAGTGAGCAATGACATACCACAATTACAATAATTTTAAAGTAAATATATGATGGAAAATGTTTGATAGAACGAAAATAAAAAGCTTTTTAAATTGCTGCAAAACTAATTTGCTTTCANGGAAAAGAGGAGCTCTGCTGCCAGCTGTCTCATACGAATAGGTAGCACATGTTTAGTCAGAGAGTGCGGTATGTTAAGCCTAACCAGTTGCTTACGCCTATCAAAGCGAGCTTTATTTTAGCTGAGTTTCTTAAAATGAAACAATGAGGCTGAGGCTCTCCCTTTATTAACTTTACAGGAAGTCGAAATTCAAACATTATGGTAAATTAATTCTATCAGACCTTTATTCTTTTTATGAAAAAAATTTTCCCTACGAGATCTTTTTCTGTATGAGCTAGTCGAAAATGTTATAATGAAAATAGCTTTTAGTGCTAGTACTGTTAAATGCATGTTTTTATTGAATTAAAGTTAAGATTTAACTATGGACAATGATTTTTTATGGATTTTTAAATTTTTAAGCTCAAACTTTTAGAACAGCAAAATTTTTTTTGAATATATGAGAAAAAATATATATAGAAATTTACTACTCATAAATGATTTTTATTTGTAGTAACAATTTTAGAAAATATTTTCTTATTTCACCATATCTATGCGTTGATTTTTTAACATAATACTTAATTTTCACAAATTATTTCTAAATTTTAACAAAATAGGTATACCTCTCAAAAAAACCTAGACAGACCCCTGATCAATGTCAAAAGTGACACTTCGGTTGCTTAAAGTTGGAGTTGGCAGCACTGCTAGAATATCTGACATGTGAACCCATGTTACATCGTTGTCAGGGGTCTGTCTAGGTTTTTCTGAGAGGTACCTATTTTGTGAAAATTTAGACATAAAAATTATATTAAAAAATCAACACAAAAATATAGTCAAAATATGCATTTATCATTTCTATACTACAATAAAATTTAATACAAAAATAAAATTAAAAAAAAAATTTTTTTTTGTGAAACTACTCTTTTTTCTAAAGTTGAATTTGTGAAGGTACAGCTAAACGGTGGTAAATTTGGCCTGGTCAGACCCCCGGTTGTAGTTATATTTGAAAAGGCTTTATTCCACTAGGCCATGTTAAAAAAACAGCACGCACATTGTCTGTTTCTATTTCAATTTCAGTTATTTGAACAACAAAATTAACTACCCTATTTTTTCCTTTAACTTTTACACTTGCAAAACTACCTATTGCAACATCAACAGAGGAAGAACTTGGAACTTCTGTATATTCATTCATACTGGTATCTCTTCCTATTCAATAAATTTTTCTCCTTTTTGAGTGGATACAGATGCATATGAAATTAGGTACTTCCTTTGAATTCTTACACAATGGATTTGTCGTATCTTTGTAATCTTACCTTTACCCTTACCTTAACCTTTTAATATCTTCTTTTCGATAATGGATTACTTACACCCTATTGCATACAGTGTTTTTATCTCAGAAAAAAAATGGGTGAGAATTTCTCACCCTTTCTCAAAAACAGGGTGAGATTTCAAAAAGTTAAGTGAGATTTCAAAAATTAAAAAAAAAAAAAACACCAAGAGACTTGAAAAAAAATCATTTCTTTAATTATAATGCATTTTTAACATCTTCTAATCTTTAGAGCATTGAATATTTTTGCTGCATCATCATATGGAAAATGTTCTACATCTACTTTCTCATCAGCTATTCTCATAAGGTTGCTCAAATGCGTATTTGTTTCGTTTTGATTGTTTCTATTCACATTTGTTTCATTTTCATTTGTCCATTTCGGAGTAGAAGATATTGGCTTCACAAGGTATTTGTCCATCTTACATTAACGAGCAAAAAATTTGAACGTCTTACATGAAGAAACCTTACCTACGGTAAACACGTGGTTGCAGAGAAATGCGTTCTGGAAGAGGTTCCGTTGTTCGGAAGGATGGTGTTCAGTTGTTCTTAAAGGTTCTGAACAATACTGGTAAATAGGGAAGCTAGATAATGGGGCAGATGTTGAAAATAATAAAAGATCCAGGAAGAAAAGTGTAACGGATTTTATTCTAAATGGCGCAAATGAGAAATGTTTTTCAAAGTGCGAGAAATTCACGAATTTTGAAATTGGTTTATAGAATGAGCAAATTTCTCGTGGTAATCATTTTTTAATGCGAGAATATAAAAAAATATGCACGATTCTCGCGTTCTTGCGCTGTATTGAAAACACTGGCATATGAATTTTGCACATACAGCAAATGATTTAGCATCGTCTGGTAAAGACTCCCATTTTCCTGCCATCATAAATCTCTTTAGGGTATCTCCTATCCCATCAACAGCACCTTTTACGTGACTTGTTGCAAAAAAAATGTCAAATTATTCCAATGTAGGCCATGCCATGTCTTTTTAAGTTTATGAAATAGGATTTCATTGAAAGTGTGGATTACATAACTATACATAAATTTCGAAAAACCTTGAAAATAAATTTCTAATTAAATTTTTAAAGTAATAAAATAGCATTTTATAGGCATAAACTTGATCAATTTACGAAGTATATTTTTGTTTTAAATTCCCAAAGTAAACTTCTTGATGTTAATTAAAAAAACAGTTTAAGCTGTCAAAAACCAAAGCTGAAGACATGAAAATTATCTAAGCTTAGGAGTCTAGCAGTAAAAAGGAAGCATACAGGTGACAAATTCCTTAGCATTAAAACGGGTAGAGGCACAAGCTAATGCAAAAGAATAGGAATCTTCCTCTGGTACGGCTCTTACTTGCCTCCTAAGTAAGCAGTCTTCCTAAGATGTCAGCATGATTGGTATACAGTGATTGAAAAAACAGTTCAAACTACATTTAAAATTGCGAAATTTAGTGTGCTACCTACATTAAAAACTTACAATAAAAGCAATAGAAATATAATATATAAATATCTTTAAAAATAGCTTGATATAGAATGCATTAACACACATTTTTTTCTACTTAAGAAATTGTTGTTCAAAACTTTTGAAAATTAAACCAAATAGAAACCTTTTTGACAAAAATGTTTTATTTTTAATAATTTTGACATTCATGAGGGAAACAGAATAACTTGTGAACATTGTTGACATTAATCAATATAATAACATATATAAATATCAAATGAAATATTTGTCAGGAAACAATATGATTATTAAACAGTAAATATATGTAAATGGAGAGTCGAAACTTAACAAAAACAAACTGGATTTTCCGAGCTACTTTTAACAAAAAGGGCATTTTATATTTATTCACGACAAGCAATAAAACATATTGGTAGAACAAAAGGGACAGCAAACACTACACATAAAATTACTTTTACATAGATTGATAACGCAATTATGACACTTGTTTCAAACAAATAGACGGAAAGTGACAGGTGTCATGTGGCATAACACAACTTCTAACCAAACAAGAGCAAGATCTGATTCGTACCAAAAATTATTTTAGTACATAATGTTTGGTGCGAAAAGGGTGGCTGATATCTTCCGAAGCCATTTAATTAAAAAATAATAATTGCATTAAACTCACCTTGCTTTTAATCTCTAAACGACTCTTCTCAGGGCGAGGAGTAGGTTTCTCAGTTTTCAACATCTTTTCAAAATAAACCCGATTTTTTAAACATTCAAAAATAATAAAAAAAAAGGAGTTAAGCTGGACGAAATAGAAGTCCTAAAAACTTTCCATAAACAAATTAAAAAACATTTTCGCCATAAACCGACATATCAACTATACCTCCTTTTTAACATATATGACGTCATCAAGTTAATAATCAGCCAACCGTAACATCATAACAATGAGGAGATTCCTGTAATGAGTTACAAAATAATGATTGGCTGCGATTATGACAAACTTCAAGGAAATAATTGAAATTTCATCGAAGCAAACTGCTTAAAAGCAAAATTTTCCATTTGCGTGAATCATAAAAATATGTAGTTATGGGGAAACTTGCCGGTTTACAATCTATTAACATTAACGCAAATACAGGCACACCACCGAATGGAAAGGAAAGGAAATCTTCACTGCTCCGAAATTATGCGTATTTGAGATATTTTAGCCGCTTGTGAAGATATTAATAACTAAACATTATATGGCAACAATAAATTAAAACTAAAGGGGAGTGATGGTTTCACTTTTGATTTTGTTTTGTTTGGACTGAGTATGTTTTTAAAATAAGAAAACAGCTGGAATTTTTAACGTTTAACTTTTCTCCCATGTCACACGTATTAAACATGGCATCCATAATCGCAAATAAATTACTTTGTCCGTCAGAAATTTGTAATTATTTACATTAATTTTCCTTGCTTTTTAATAAGAGGTTATTCTACTATTTTTATTACGCAAATGCCTAAAAAATGAGTAAATCTTTAAGAAATAGCCAAACTAAGCAAAGATCTTCATCAACAAATTATATTTCATTACATTTCAACAAGGCGGATGAAGAACAATTAGAAATAAGTTATGGGGATAAAGTTGATGTCGAGGAGAAATCTAATGAACAGGAGATAGTTACAAAAAATGCTTCGAGTCGAGAAAAATTGCCAAATTCTGATGGGTCAAAAGATAGTGGTGATAATGCTTCTTCTGCTACAGCTAATGATGATTTTGAAGAGTTATCATTTCTAAAAAGCAAACTATCTTCTAAAGATTCAAATCGAGATTCAGTTGTTAAAGAATATTGGTCCCGATTAAGTAAAAGAAGTAGTTTAGATTCAGATTTGGCGATTTCAGATAAGAATCCTGATCAAAATGAAGGTTGGATGTTTTTTAAAGATATTAAAGGTAAATTAACGAAAACCTTAGAAGAACGTAAACAGCTAAAGGATGGTACTAGAGGTAAAATTGTTAGTTCTGAATCTTTAGGCAGTTTTACCAAAGAAGATTATGACCGTTTATCAACTGAAGGAGATAAAGAAAGGGATAAAAGCCTTCAGCTTAGCCCTGCTATTGAAGTTTTGGATGGAGATAAATTAGACTCAGAATTTGAAAGTTATGTTGAAGGGGAGTTACAAAGGGTGAGAAATGAGATACTTTCTCCTAAAGGGGATAAGTTACCTTCATCTGACAGTTTTATTGAAAGTACTCCTCAAACTATGACCAGTCAAGCTGTTAGTGAAATTCATCGCCTTGTTGTTCCGAAACCTTCAGTAAAAGAACCTGCTTCCCAGATATCAGATAAAGTGTTCAATGATGAATATAATAACAGAAATTACCTACTTGAAATTGCCAATGTTATTAAGAACTTCTGTACCTCAGTGAAACTGTATTGGAATAGTTTATTGTCTCGTTTATTAATTGCTGTGTTTGCTCTTTGCCTTGTTCCTGTTCCTTCATGGTTTTCTGGGTTTATTGCTGGTGCATTTTTATCAGGCTATATTGTGTACCAGTTACTGAAAAATAGTAAACCTAAAGAAAAATTAATCATTCCAGAATTCAATCAAACCCCTAATGTTGAAGAAGCTGAAGAAACTATTATTTATAAAGTAAGCTTTACTGTATTTAGGCTAATTTTATTTTTCAGGAAGATTATTTAGTTGTAGATAATTAGAACTAATCACATGAGAAAATCGTGCTAAATAATTGCCAATTTTTATATTATTTTTTTTGGTAACTAGGCACTAGCAGACGAATAAACTAAAGGGAAAAAATGTTTAAAAATGACACTGAAAGAGACCAACTCAAAAGGTATAATTTGTAGCCACCTTCAGCAAGCAGCACATTTTTAAAAAATGTTGTAAGTTTAAAGCTCTGGGGCGATTCCATGGTACAAATGATATCATAGAAATTTTTAATAGCATTTCGGCATTAATTAGTTTTAATTAATTAGTTTTTTTTTATTAATTATTTCAGATATATGTTCAAAAATTGTAGTTTTTAAGTATTTTTCAATAATAACAAATATAGGTGTTAAAATTTTAATATCGCTTTTATTTGGAACATCAGTCATAAGCTTTTCCTCTGTTTTCCACTTCCTTTATGTTATATCCAAAGTACTTTCCATCTTTCCTGTTAATTTTAAGTTTATTTTTAGAAATAATCCCATTATTAATTATTAAAAAACTAGAATTTTAAATTTAAAATATATTTATTTCCATGTTATGTTTAACAATTTATATTTTAATTCTAAATAAAACATTTATAATTTCCCTAGCTTTTCTGATATGTATAATAATAGTAGACTATTAAAAAGTATCAAAGTTTTTTTAGAAGTTTTCTTAATATTTATTGATTGATAAAAAAGAGGTTAAATAAGAGAACCTATCAATGTGTGACGTCAGTCACTAAGGAGTATCCCTTTCCAGGGGTCTGTCCAGACATTTTGTGAAAGGTCCATTTTTGTAAAATTGTGAAAAAATTACTCGTAATTTGTAAATGTAAAATAAACGTTAAGTCACATTCTTTCAACCAGGCCTGCTTTTGTGAATGTGAATTTGTACAAATAGGGTCCTGTTTTTGCGAAAAACTTTTTCAAGGAGCTTTTAAATTGTAAATAAATAGAAGATTATGCTCAACACTGTAAAATTATAATAAAAAAAAATAAACAGAAATTGCGGCTACTTAAAGATGCAACATACAAATATTTGGTATTTAGCCTATGCTGCTGAACACAGAATATTCATTTCGAACTAATATAGGAAGAAGCGTCTGACGAAGGCAAAACTTAGTTCGTTTACGTTTGTTTTTCTCCCCCTTTCCTGGGAAGGGTTTATTCGATTAACAAAACAATAATGAAGAAGATAACAAATTTGTGAAGAGTCCGATTAAAAATAAATTATTTTATGAAGGATCAGTTTTTAAGTTTTAAAATATTGTGTGAAGGGTCCGTTTTTGTGAAAAGATATTTTAAATTTCTTCTAAACAGACCCCTGCTTTCATGTCTTGGCAAAGATACTTTTTGCAAATAGGTACCAATGTGAAAAAATTCTCCTTATCCAATTTTAATTCATTAAAAAAAGGGGTTTTTTTTAGCCATATCTTAGTTTTTTTTTATTAAAAACTCATTAGTTCGCTTTTTTTAAAACTGAGAATTCCGTAAGGCAATCTGTATCAGAATAATCGCCAAGCCGGGCAGCAGTCCGCGAGAAATGTAAAAAAATATCTCAGAAAGGAGCCAACTCAAACGGTACCTATAACTCATAGCCACCCCTGGGTAAACATCTACATGTTTTGTTTTTTTTAAATCCGCAAGTTTATCATGATAGGGAAATATCCCCAGTAATTCTTTTTCCCAAAGAAAAGTATGGAACTGGTTTGACAGTACTTTAAATGATGGTGAAGTTAATGTTACTCATATTCAAAAATTATTAAATAGTAGTCCAATTTTTAACGTAATAATATCTTAGGTAGAAATTTTGAGAAATGGGCATTTGATGTATTGAATTCACATTTATGTGTGCATTTTTTATAATCTTGTCTTATTATTATATTGTATTCAATTTTCAATAAAAGAATAAATTTTAAAAATTTTTTGTTTTGAAGGGATGGATGAATGAACTTCCCTGTGACATTGTGTATAATCCAGAGACTTATCATGTGAATTGCACTCGCTCGATCTACGTCCGTCTCGATGGCTCCTATCTAAGAGTTTCCTATCCACAAACCAACATTCCCAAGCGTGCCATGTACAATGAGCCTCGCTATGACAGGCAGTTTATTCATCAGCAACATTATGATATAACTTCAGCTACTGTTGAATTGTTACCTGTTGGACTAGCTAGAAAAAGGTAAGCATGAGCATACAGTATCACCTCTAAAAGCTAGACTCGTGAAAAAAAAAGTTTTCTTTCTAAATCTATATTTAGTTGGAAAAAATGTCTGAACGATTCACGTCATTTTCAGATAGTTTTTCAGCTATTCAGGGCTGATTGTGCTCCGGAAAAAACCCGGATTTCCGGAATTTTTGCTAACAGTGATCCGGAAGTTTCCAGAGATCGAAGGTCCAGACGTTTCAAAAAATCACTGATCACAGAAGTTTCCGGAAAACAAATTTTCAAAGGTGGAACTTAAAAACACACTTCATTTTATTTGTTTTTAAGGGAGAGCCAGAGAGATACTTTATAAGCTCATATTCATGATTTATTTTCATTTTTTATCAGTAAATAGTTGTTATAATCATAAACTCAAGAAAGAAAGACATATTTGTAAGTTTTAATTACTTCTTCAGGTTTGTGTAAATGGTATAGGTATGTGTAAAATTTTAAATATTTTTAAGTGAACTGAGAAATATTGAGAAAAGGGAAAAAGATCTTGTTTAAATTTTTTTCAATTAAACTGTTCTTTTTTTTTAACTCATGAATTTTCCGGAATTTTGATTTGGGCTCAAAATCGCCCCTGGCTATTTCCACATATTTGTTTCGAATTNTAGGGCTTTCATGCTAATCATGATTTTAGGGTTTGGGTACAATAGACCTCTGGTCGATGTGCCCTGCTCGTCAGAGCTGCCCAACCTCTAAGTCCAAGTCTAATTTACAGTTATCTTCTTTTGTATACTCAATTCACGATTTTATTGCAAATACTCATTGTTTGCCGATTTTTGGTCTTTCTTGTTTTGATTGTGATCATTTAGGCTACATTCATGTGCAAAATCTTTTTAAAATTTACGATCAATTCATGTGATTTTGTTGATCCCTTTCTTGCAGTATTGCTACAAGTTTCCACAAAAATTGTAAAATCCCTTCTTTTTTTTTCAAATATAATAAATTATAGAATGTGTAAATATTTCAAGCAACAAATTTATTGTCTATGTAGGTGATAGTTCTGACATTTGACAATGGCTCCTACACTGGAGTGAACCTTAAAGATATGTATATTTAATTAAAAATTTGGGAAGAATTTGTTTAATTAATATAGAATAATAGAAACTACTGATGAGAATACGTTTTTGTAGAGAAGTATGTGATGATTCATGAAAAGAATAAGAATGATCAAAAAGGTAACAGCATTTAAAGATACATCAGGCAAAGAACAAAACTGAAGAATTTCAGCAAAGTGTAAGTTTGAAGAAAAAAAACGTAGATAGTAGTATAATATTTTTTTGAAGTCTGAGATTTTTGAAGTAAATACAAGCTTGACGTTTTTAAAACACAATTTTCCATATCCCGAAACTTATAGCATTTGAATTAATGCACTATATCGAAGTTTGACTATATTTGTTTTTAATTACGTCTAATTTGTCTCCTATTGTACAACTCTAAAGTAATGAAACTGAGCAGGATTTTGATGAACTTTTGTGGGTTTTTTTAAAAATATTTTAAATTTTTATTCCAGAGACCTTAATGAGTTTTATCACCGTTGTTGAACATCCGACCCAATTTTGAGTTTTTCGATTACCAAAGTTCAACTCGTAGCCTTGTAATTTTGAACCTAATCCAGAAGACAAGGAAATTCTTCGATCAAGTATGGATAGAAAATTGCCTTCGTGGAGGTCTTTTTTAGGGAATTAACCCTCATTTATGTTACATGGAGAGGGGGAAAAATTAAATTATAATAATGGTAGAGAATAATATTAAGAAAGGATGTTATAAACAAATATTACAAGTTTGTGCTTTGTTTGCTCAAGTTTAGTATTACAAACTGTTATGTTGATTAATAATTGTTGTTGATACATGACAAAATAAGACCATTTTTTATTTTAAATTACAAGATTGTAATCTTTATTTTACTATAATATGAATTCCTTTTTTTTTATGTAGATTGTGGAGTAAGAAATATCCCATTTGTTTGACTGTATCAAATCCGAAACAATCCATTCCATCAAGTGGTACTAAAGATGCAAATGATTCTAACTCAACTCCCAAACCTTCTACTAAAAAAGATTCACCTGTGAAAAAACTGACACCACGCACCAACGAAAACAACGAAGTCATCTTAATCCTCTTTTCTCGCACCGACAGAGATAAGGATCTGTGGTACTACAGATTTAAAAAAGCATCGAGAATAAAACTATTAAAAAACCATTCCCCATTATCATCCCCAGACCTTACTCATAGCGAAATTCATAATTTAGAAAATAAGAGAACAATATCTGCAGAGTTAGATTCTTTACAAATAGACTCGTTAGAAAATGAAGATTTTGTGGATCTGTCCATGTCAAAGCAACAAAAGTTTGAGTTGTACATGTCACGCTTATTAGCTCCTCTGCGCTCAGACCCATTTCTGGTGAACCTCAAAGATAAAAAGAGCGGAAGTGCAAAATCTACATCCCTGAATAGTATGTCATGGCTAAATGTATTGATCGGGCGTTTATTTTTTGATTTTTTGACGGAAGATATGTGGGCCCAGTGTGTAGCTGAGAAGATTCGAAAAAAGTTGAGTAAACTGAAGGTATGAATTTTCTTTCTTAATTTATTTAATTGTAAACATTACACGAAGAGGCTATTGTTTCCAAATAGTTATAGCAATCCTTAGCGGTAAATAACTGATCTCAGATTTTTTTTTTTAAATATTTCTGTAATAAAAAAAATCAATTTATGAATTAAAAGTTTGCTTTGACGAATTGTCAAAACATATTTATATTGCATTATTTTTAATTTGCATTAATTTTAACTGGCAAACAACCTTAAAAAGGTATTAAATATATTTTCCTATTTGTATATATGATGGCAGACTTTTCTTCTGTTTCCTCTGACTATTAAAACTTTTGAAGAATAGATAATTGGAATTATATAATCTATGCTTAATTTATTTTCGTTTTTATTCTTTAACAGGATGTAAAAATTCTTGAAATTTTATATATATTTATATGTGTGTCATATATATATGCTGAACAAGAGGATTCACTTTCTTTTTTCTTAGCAGTGTTAAGCATAAAACATATTATTTTTCAATTATCTTTTTCCTTCTATTTGAATTAAGTATAAAAGACTACCTGTTTTCTTAAGGAAATTAAGCAACAAATTAATATCATTCTGTAAAATATACTAATACTCTTTCAGCTGCCTGTTTTCTTAACAGAGTTAAGCATAAAAGACATCAATCTGGGAACTGCATTGCCCAAAATTCATAGAGCATCTGAACCTACTATTGATCACAGAGGCATCTGGATTGATATTGATGTCTCATACAATGGCTCATTCCAAATGACCTTAGAAACAAAACTCAATCTGCTGAGGTATAGGTGTGATCCAGGTGACCTTTCCTTATCTGAAGTGTCCAGAGAAAGTATTAATCAAGATCTTAGGTATGCTTTTTCAACATCCCAGATTATTTGCATGAAGATCAATTGAACATTCACAATCTTAAAATAGGATCATAATTAATTTAATAAGGAATACATTAGAGATACAAAATTTTATGATATTTTATTCGCTTTTGGTTAATGGAAATATTTGATTAAATGTAATACTGACTTTTCAATTGTACTTATACACACCCTTTAGTAGAAACCAGCACAGCATTTACAAATTATTTTCCACTTCAGATTTTAGATTGAGAATGAGTTAAAATGGTATTTGCGTAATCAACCATTTTCACCAGCATCAATGCCAGAGTATCTTTAAAATTTATTTTGATATAATAATTGATTATAAGAAATTGACAAAATACAAATATAACTTATTGAAAAAAATGCTTAAATTTAGCCCACTGACGGTTTTGCATGTAAAAAGTCGTAATTTAACCCTCAGTCTTCTCCGCATAGCAAAACCGGTTTTCCCATATTATTAGATAGAGAAATAGTGTATAGGGAAGAAACATTCTCCCAATTTTGCCCTTTTACTAAACCGCCAGTGGGTTAAACCATTTCCAAATTTATTTTTCAACTCAGGTAAAAATGGCTGCAAGGATAATATGTAAGGACCATTAAAATTAACGATTAAAAAAGAAGGGAAAAAAATAGTTTTTTTGAAGAAAAAAAATTATACTGGAAAAAAACCCATTTTCAATTTTCTGGGTATTGCTTTTGACTACTAAGTATTTATGATTGTATAGTATTGAAGAAACCAGGGTTGGGGTTTTGGACGTCCTAAACTGGTTTTGGACATGACACGTGGGTTTTACTGTCTTAAACTGTCCTAAACTGAGTAAAACTGTCCAAAACCTTGAACTGTGGTAAAAGGTTAAAATTCTGTATGTGTAACCATTGTACACATCATAATTACATATATCAATAAATATTTTACATTTTTATACAATTTACTTTAACTTATTAAAGGAAATTAATATTATGTAATAGGAAAAAGTTTATAATTTTTGAAGTTCCACAATTCATTGAACAACAAAAGTGAATACTTTATCCTTTAAATATAAATATGCTTTTAATACTGATAAATTATGTTTTTGCATAAGGATAAATAATGCAATATTAAAAATAATAATAATTTTTTTAAAAAAATAATAAATTTTTTTAAAAATTAACTTTTTACTTATCACAATATTTTTTTTAAAAAATTTTATAATTTCTGCATCACAGGATGATAAAAATGTTATCTATTTTTAAATTTTTTTTTAATATAAATATATTAGTTTAAATTGGAAATACAAAATAACTGAAAAATGTATTAACAGTTTTGAGGGGCATAACATCAGTTTCAGTTACTGACACTGGTGATGTATCACCACTATGCTCAAAGAAATGAACATGAATGAAATAAAAGTATTCTTAAATAGTACTATAGATAAATAAACCTGTTTATGACTAACCAATCACTTAGTCCCTAATAGCTTAATCTGTATGGCAAGGTCAAACTTCACCAACAAAACTATAGTAATAATGAACAATGATATTCAAGGTCAAGCTAAAGGGATCATAGAAAGTCTAGACAATCTGACTGGTTCTAGACAGGGTTCTCATTTCCTTTAAGTTTTACAAAGAGAAAAAATAGTTAGATCTAGTTTAAATTAGAATTTTTAAAGTATTTTTCTTTGTTGTTAATTTATGCATAAAGTTGAAGGTTAAAAACATTTGCTTATTGATTTATTTTTTGAAAACAAATTAAAGTTAAATATTGAAAATGAACAAAGGTGGCAGACCAGCAGATGTTGTGTGGGAACATTTTCTCTGAGTGGAGAATAAAGATAAACCAAAAAGCAAATTTGCAAAATGTAAATATTGTGGAAATATTCAACTGGCAAAAGTGGAAAGAATGAAAAAACACATTATGTCTTGTCAGCTGCAAAAGACAGACAAGAACACTAATGAGTGTAATTCTGAAGCAGTGGACAATGATTTTATCAAAGATATAAATTATTGTGAAATCATAAGTGAATCTAGGCAAAAGAGGACGAGACTTAAAACTCAGCAAAGCTTAGATTCTCATATCATAAAAATCAGCAAGAGTACTACAGAAAGCTTAGATTTACTTGTTGCAACATTTTTTTATGCCAACAATTTAGCCTTTACGGTAGTTGAACATCACACTTTTAATGAATTGATTTCAGCCCTACGTCCAGGATGTACTCCACCAAATCGTAAAGCACTTTCTGGAGAGCTTTTAGACCAAGTATCTGCAGAAGTAATGAGTAAAACAAAGAAAAATATTGCAGGAAAACAAGTCACTCTGGTGGAAGATGGTTGGAGTAACATTCATAATGATCCAATTATAGCAACTTGCATCCATAGTGAGGGAAAATCTTATTTTCTAGATTCCGTAGAAACAGGTACTGTAACTAAAAATGCAGAATTTCACAAAAAGTGATACAAGATGCCATCACTAAAGCGAAAGAGGACTTCAATTGCCATGAAAAAGCTGTAGTAATAGATAATGCCAGGGTAATGGAAAAAGCAAAGGATCTTTTGTTGGAGAATGACAGTAATCTAGTAGTATATGGATGCAGTGCTCATTATCTAAACCTATTAGGACAGCACATTACCCCAAGTCAAGTTATACAAAACATAATGAAAGTGCAGAAATATTTTCGGAATCATCACATACCAAGTGTATTGTTGAAAGAAATGGTAAATACAGTGAAATCTCAACTGCCATGGGATACAAGATGGAAGAGCCAGTTGGTTTGTATTGAAACTTACCAGAAAAACAGACAAGCCTATCAGCATATAATTGAGGAAGATGAGCAGCTTATTGATAGGGACATAGAAAATCTGATAAATAATTACAATTTGTTTAAACAATCTAAAGATTTAATGTTGCAACTAAAACCTATTGGTGATACACTAGACCGATTGCAAAGTGACACTGCAACTTTAGATGAAGCATGCCATGTATGGTTAACACTTATTAAAGAAGACAATTTACAGCCCCATCTTCAGGAAGTTTCAAAGCGAATGGCTCAAGCAATGCAGGCATTTCATTACTTGACCTATTTATTAAACCCTAAATAAAAAGGAGAAGGCTTGTCAAATATGCAAAAAGAAAGTGCTCGGTCATATTTAACTGACAAATTCCCTGAATGCATTTCTCTTTTGATTGCATATGAAGCTGAAGCGGCACCATTTCCGAAAACTTACTTCACAGAAGCTGGGAGAACCATTGAACCAGTGACATGGTGGACGGCTATTGAAAAATCAATATCATTTGGGGAATATTCCGAAGACATTTTGAAATTCATCACTCTTCTACTCTCATGCCCAGCAAGCTCAGCATCAATTGAAAGGATGTTTTCAAACTTTGGAGTATTTCACTCAAAACTTAGAAACCGTTTTGGTGTGAATACAGCAGCTAAATTAGTTATGTGCTATCGAATGTTAAGAGGACCAATTGAATTTGATTACTGATTAATCTTCCTTTGTTTAATGTTTTAATTGAAGAGTCAAACAATATTAATGAAGTATTATACTTTTAAAAACAAATACTCTCTAGTAGATTTAAATATCAATATGCTATTAGTTACATGTTTATTTTACCTTTTAAGTAATATTCAGATAAAATTGTGACATAATTTGAGTAAAAGGGTTTTGGACAGGACAGTTTAAACCGTGGATTAATCCACTCTGTCCTAAACCTTGCCAACCCTGGAAGAAACTTTAAATATGCGCAAATCAGAACACCGTAAATTACAGTTCTATTAACTGCTTCTTTCAAAATGATAAGATTTTATTTTGTCATTTACAATTCCTACATTTTTATCTTATTTCTTTATTAGGCTTAGTATGAGCATACGTTTTTTCTTCTTTTGGGTAAAGCCAAAGTATCATTGTATAGAATTTTTATGTATTACTTTATTATATTTAATTGTTGCAAATTCTGCTAAATTCAGTACTAAGTCCAATATCCGGAAAGGTCTCTTTTCCGTATACTTTTTAACAATCAAAATAAACAAAATTCTTTACCCTATTCAAACAAAACAATTTACCGGATATGTAGAAAAATTACAGGATATGTTTTTAAAAAAAGTAAGCAGGAATGAGATTCCACCTCTATATAATTTTTACAGAATTCCAATTTTTGTTGAATTTTAATCCGATTGCTGCTATAATATGAAGGAAAAAAATTGGACATCACAAAAACGAAGTCTGGCGTGTCCCTACAACCCAAAAAAATCATGTGATTTTTTCTAACGTCTCGCATAAAAGAATTATAACCGCCAAAAATCTTGCACTTAATTTAAGAGTGTGCAAAAATTTCACATTTTAGAAAGAAATTGCAGATTTGAGAAGAAATTGTCATGGCTAAAGCAGGTCATTAAGTGATAATTCAAAAGCATGCAGATTGTAAAAATATTACATTAAAACTGAAATCAAAATTTTATAAATTATGTGGAAATCCCAAAGTGTTAAAACTGCAATTGGCAAAAAAATCATCACAAATCGAGTGCATCAAAAAGTAATTCTACAAATGTGTGATTCAAAATGTCTTGTACATGATAGTCTAGCATTAAAAAAACTATGAAAATCCGTAGCAATAACAGACAAAAATGGGATCATAAATCCAATTCGGATTGCGGGTAAACCGTCAATAATTGAATACGAAATGGGTGATTAGAAATTTACCAAACGAAATAATATTGTATTGAAATTTTCAAAACCAAGTGAAAATCCAATTTAATGACTACCGAAAAAACTATAATCAAAACCATGCGGATTCACTGTGGAATCGTCGCTAATCAAGTGGATCGAGATATTATTACTAACCAAAATCCGCGATTAGGAATCTGCATTATTTTATAATGGAATATTAAAATATCAAGAGTTTAAAAAACATTTGGATGTCTGTAACAAATGCAGCGAAAAATAAAGCAACGACGTGGATTTATTTGTTGTTGATTGAAAATGACGTTAACTATCAACTATTCATTATTTTTTATTGAATAAGGATCTATGATTGTTTGTTTACTTTGAAGACCAATTATCCAGCAAAATCTATTTTCCAGACTTGCCGAATTCCAGATATGGACCTTTCCACTGTATATGTTAGATCAAGCTGAATTTTTACAATAATCTCTGTCATTGCCTTGAAGCCACATGCAATTTTGAATATTTGTGGATAGGTCTGCTACAGTTAGACTCCGTAAATTTCGCTACTAGGCTTATTCATGATTTTCTTAAATAATTGAATTTCTTTTTCTCTATAAATAATAATTTTAGATATGCTGAAATACTCCTGTTCTTTTAATGAAACTGGTGTTTTTCATAACTACCAAAGGGTACCTTATGCCCAAACTTACCTGGGGTTATGGGATGGGGTACCTGCCAAAATACTTCAGTAGCCACTAGAGCCCCTCTAGTCATTTTAGGTATAAGTTTTTATTAATACGTGCCTATAAGGTTAAAACATGAAATATTAAATAAGCATTTAAAATGGATCAAATTTTAAAAAGTCAAATGCTCAATATTTTCAGTAATTTTTTTTTTTTTTAATTACAGAGCAACTAAGTATGTTTTTGTGTCTGATTTCATAACGTAAAATATCGCCTGCACTAGTTAATTAACATATTTGAAGTCACCCTCTTAAACCATTAAGAATGAGTCCTAGAATGTAAAAATCCTATGATTAACCAAAAGATGTTCTAAGTGGTCCTTTTTACTTCTTCCCTGCACTGAACACTTATGAAACATTTTTATTATTTCAATGGAAAGGAACGTATTCTCAGTAGTTTTTTATGTATTTTATTTCTTAAAAGAAGTATAAAAGCATTAAACAATTTACAAAATAGCAAATGTTTGATAATTTCCTGGCACTTCTTAAATATTCGCTGTCGAGAAAGGTATGAAAAATTAAGGGTTTTAGAAGAACAAATTTGTAAAAAATGCTTTAGAATAACAAACTTTTTCATGTAAACTTAAATAAGTATTTCTTAATAATTCTTCATGTTTAAAATTTTTTAATTCAAAACCATTTTGAACATGGGTGTAATTCAATTTCTCGAACAAATTTCTCCCCTGTAAAAATAGTGAAATAGTGACTACATTTCAGAAGTATAGTTGTATTTAGCTACAAAAATAATGTCAAGCATGTCATTTCTGATGAGAAAAAAAATTTAATGGATAAAAAAAAATTTCTTTAAATTTCGTAAATTTTACTTATGTGCATAAAAATGGCAGCCTTTTATTTATCTTCTATGTAGAAAAAGAAGAAAAAAAATTAAGCATTAATAAAATAAAAAAACTACACATTGAGAAAAAAATTTCAGATATAAGATTCTTCCTGCAATCACATGTCTGTAATATTAGCCTATAAGTAAGTGTTAGCCTATTGTACAAGCACTGAGATTAAGTTCATACAAATTATCATTTAGGTTTAAATTTCGAAGTTGGTATGTTGTTGGCAAAGTATGAAGTGTTTAATAATAATTCTTTTTTTTTCAAATGACTATTATTACGTCTTAAAATGACAGGTCTTCAACTAATAGTTCTTAAAACGATTATTTTCTTAAACACAAATAATAGGTCAGGTAACAAATACAGGTGTACAAAAAATACTACTCACAAGGGTATCAAAATAGAATGATCACATTGTGATGGCTTCAAAATATACCCGAAACAGTAACTCTGAAGTATATGCAGTAAAGGGCTTGCAGTGCACCCTAGTGTAGAAAACACCATCCATATATAGAGATATTATTTGAATTGTTATGCATATTACTATTTTTATTCATCTATTTTATTTATTCATGTTTTATATATCTGAGTTTATTCATCTGTTTTAAATCATTTATACGAAATGTATACTTAAACGTACTTAAAATTGATTGATTTGTAATTCGTTAATTTCTTTCGAACAACAAAAGTTTAGTCATTTGACATCATACAACCAGCAAAAACAGTTCTTTTTTTTTAAAAAATAGCAGCTTGATTTTTGTTAATTTTAAATGCATTTTTCTGACTCTTGTATTTTTGTAAATATAACTTCTTACAAATGTTGAACTCATAAGATGAATATTATTCAGGTCTCCAGTTTACAACAACAGTGATGAAGAGGATAGTGCTGAATCATCAAGTGATGAAGATTTTCCTGCTCCAGAACCTCCGGATGTAACTGAAGAAAGGTTATTATTGTTCATTGATCCCTTCCTTGTAATTCTCATCATCTTATTGTTAAAGAACTTTTTTCAGTAAACAAAGCATACAAGTTTTTCTTTTGTTGTTGTCAGCCATTAAGGCAGAGGGGGTGCAATTGTTCTTGTTTTCCTGTGACGCCATCTATGGCCAAGAATTCAACTTATGACTCACCCGTTTATAGGGCGGACCCATTCATACATCCATTCATCCACAGATCATAATTTGACTTGAACCAGAGAACCACCAATCTCAAATTCAGTACCCCCAGAGGTATTGATTTGTTATTAGAACACGGAGGGCTTTGTGACCCAACAGATTAAACGTGCACAGTTAAACTGTCACCATTTACTGAGTCTTGGACCCACTGAATTAGAACTCCCGTTCTCGCAAACGTGAGTCCAGCGCCCTGCCAACCAAGCTATCCCAGCCACAAGTTTCTCTAACAAACATATGAAACAAAATTTTAATGTGAAGTGTGAAAAAAAAACTTTTTTTTTAATTTATACTATTTAAATTTTTTGCTTTTATTTATATTTTAGTGAACATTGCCAAAAAAAATTTTCAAATAGAACATTTATAATTGAAAATAATGTGAGTTTTTTTAGAAGAAAAGAAAAAGAAACAACTATTTTTTACTGAGAAAATTAGTTTAAAATATCTTTTATGTTAGGGAAACAGGTAGCATTTAAATTTAAAGGAAAAAACTTTTCATTTTGCAGTCTCTACTATCCCCAATGTATTTTATTTTTTAAGTATTCTCACATTTCATTTTTTAAAAAAAAATTTTAAGTCTGTTTTTTTTTTAATTTCTTGACTGTTTTATTTCTCACTCTTGCTTTGTTCAAAGACATTGGATTGGGACCTTAGATAATCTGTTATTTTTTGCTACTCTCTTATGTTAATTTTTGATACCAATACAAAAGCACACATGTAATAGAATTATTTGAGCAACACAAATAATATTGAAACAAAAAAAAGGAAAATCATTAAGTTTATAACTTTTAAGCTAAAGAACTGTTTTTAATTTGTATACTGTGTTTTTCCAGTCTATTCAGTCTATCTAATAAATAAAGCCCTGATTTTAATTTCAAAATTATGGATGTGTATTCATTGTTTAATTTTTTCCCTAAATTCACGCTAGTTTTAAAAAAAAATTTTAAGTGTAGTTTAAAATGGATTTTTAAAGATAATTATATACTAGAATTATTTTTTTAATAATTTAAACAAAATACTCAATTTTTTTTTATCTCAACTTTTTAAAAATAATTTATTTATTATAGAATAATAGGGATCATAATTCAATTTTTGCTTTTACTCAGGATCACTAATTGATCTTCTAATGTTCTGATGAATTCTTGATATTCTGGTTGTTTAAAAAGAGGAATAATTATGATATCCAAATGAGGATAGGGTATATGTTGTGCTATGTTTGGATGAAGTTAAACTTCATGAATAAAACATGTAAAAAGATTCAGTTCTATCAACAAGAACCTTCCTCAGGGCCAAAACACAAAAAGACAAATGAAATGTGTGTCTCGTTAATTTTCTACTGCTGTTTTGTGTTGGCATTTGTCATACTCTGAGGAAGGTTTTTATCTAAGTACTGAAGCTATATCATGCCCATTTCTATACTTTTATACTTGCTTTGTTCGTGTATTTTTAAAAAATAATTATTCATGTGTGCTAGGTTAATCCTTTATGTTATATGTCATATTTTGGTATGAAAAAAATCTCTGTGTTCAATTCTGTTGCCAGTGTTTAAGTGTACTTCCCTCCTCAATTTTCATTGCTAATTAAATGATCATTAACTCACACTATAAGATGTGGTATATATAAAAAAAAAAATTTCATTTTTAAGTCTTTCGTACTAAATTCTACTTAACTCATTTTCATCCCAATAAAGCCACGAAATTAAGGATATAAAATGAGAAAAACCATCTATATTTTTCACAATAAAAAGAAGAGGAAAAACATCATTGGTTTTGTTTTTTAACTTATTATCTATTCACATTTTTGAATTGAAGTATTTTTTAGTTCAAATCAAGCAGTAGGCGGGAGTGCAGGAAAGAAGTTCCTGAGACTTGTTGACAGATTTGCTCAATCAACATACTTCCAACATGCTGCCAAAAACAAGTATATAAAACGAGCTATGGAAGATATTTCTAATACGCCATTAGTCTTAACTGTAGAAGTCCAATGGCTTGCAGGAACTCTTGCTATAAACATACCTCCAATGCCAACAGATAGATTATGGTGAGTGTTGTAATAAATTGAGAGGTTTATCTGTTTTTAATGTATCCAAATATTGTTTTCCTAAACTTTCAAAATCTGTTTTTAAGCATAAATAAATATGAAGTATCTATGACCATTCACAGTTTTTATTATGGACCTGCCAAACTCGCAATTTGTAATGATAATAAAAACTCCTTTTTGAGAAAAAAAATAGCATCACATTTGTGATTTAATTAATTGGTTATTTTATTCACTTTAGTTACTGATGTGACTTAAAAATATAATGAGTGAATGATTTCAGAAATGAATATACCTAATACATTTTTGGCCGGTATTGTATGTCTTACTTATTCAAGACTAATTCAAACAATATAATAAAATAAATTTTTGGTTGGGGGAGAAAGAAAGTGTTCAAAAAATAGATTGATTGGTTGATCATTGATTTTAAACAGTTGAGAAAAACTCAAATTGAAATTTTATTCTGGCCATTTGCTTTGCCTCTTAAAACCAAATCGTACTACTCTTGTAATATTATGTACCTGAATTAAATAAGTCTTAAAAGCAAATTGGTGAATGAGAAAATGAACTGTGAATTGAAGAATTTTAAAATTATAGAAAGAGTTAATATATGAATTAACTAAGCAACAACTGAATAAACTAATCAGCCAATGGATCAATCTGTTAAGTAATAAATGACCGAATTGATGAATCAGTGAAACAATAAGAATGAGATTAAGACATTAATAAGATGTAATATTTTCAAAAGATACATTCAATGATAACAATCTTAACTCCTACAACCTTATCCCGCTTAAGGGTGAGATGAAAGCCACTACAAAATCATAGCTAAGAACCCTCGGTTTTAATTGCTGCTTCTATGTTAAAAAAAAACTTCCCAATTTGACTTTCAGGTCTTTTTGTTTTCATTTTGCAGATAGCTGTAATCACAAAATAAAACTTGTTTAAAATATAAATATTTTGAAAAAATGAATTACCATATATCCTAATATATAAGTAATACCCTAAAAATGAAAATGATGAAAGTGGAATAGTTATTGATTGCGAAATATCGATTAATTATAAACAGATAGGTATGAATATCAAATTATACCGCTTTAAAATGCTATTTTTGATGTGTTATATCGATTTAATTTTGCATTTTCCCTCATCATATTTTCTTTACTTATAAAGGTTTTTTTAGAAACAATACTTCAAATTACATTCAGGAAAAATAATAAAATTTCAGATAATTTATTCAAGAGTATTTTGAAAAATATACCTTTTAAAACATAAAGCTGCAAATTCCACTTGAATAACACAGCATTTGTTAATGCATTTTTATTTGAGGAGTTAGAATATACCTCATATCAGGTCATAGCATATCAGAAGAGAACAATGCGAGATATTTTTAACTTGAGAAAATTTTGTATTTGCTGGGGTGAATTCCAAGAGGTGGAGACATTTGACTTCAGATTGTGGTATTTAAATTAGGGGTGCACAACCTGAGCAAAATTAAAAATAATAATAATAATTCTTTTCGTTTTTTTTTTTTAAATTTGAAATTGTGCATTTAAGTTTTTGCTGTACCAATCTCAATCAATGTAGTTTTATGATCGCTTTTTTATGGTTTATGCTATGGATTTACTCATACTTTTGAAAATCCCAATATTTTTAATACGACAGTATTTTGATACATGAATTTTAGTTATCACTTTTGCCGCTCTACGTGTGTGCTGATTTCGTCATAAATCCAATTACTTTTCATTAATTATTGCTACCCATTTTCACATAGTTTTTGAAATATTGATTTTTTTAAAATATGCTTTAACGTCTTGAAAGTTATAAAACGCTTTATTTGCGCAATCTTTATTGCAAATCTAAATGACTTTTGATTATTTTTTTACACTATTCCACATGGTTTTTAAAATTTGGATATTTTTAGCACAATATTATTATGAATCGCGAGTGACAAATCACTAATTTAGATAACAATTTTTTAACTGACTTTATTTGTGCCAATTTTATCTCAAATTATTTATCAAACATTATTTTGGCAATTACTACTACACATTTCTACATGGTTTTGAAAGTCCCTTTATTTTTTATACGCTATTGCGACACTTTAGTTTTTAGTCCCACATTTAAATACATCACTTTTTGACTCGTTTTATGTATTCCAATTTCATCGTAAATATAAAGAGATTTTAATAGTTTTTTAGGTTGTTATTACTGCACTTTTTCCTGCCATTCAAAAAAATCCTTGTATTTTGAATACTTTAGTTTCACGGCACGAGAGTTTTGAATTGCACATTAAAATAATCACTTTCTGCATGCTCTATTTGTTCCAATTTTAACATAAATAGAGCAACTCAATATATATAAAGGTTTTTTTGCCCATTATTATTGCATTTTTACTTGAGATTTTGAATATCCTGATATTTTAACACAATGTTACAACTCATGATATTCAATTCTATTTTAAATTTCTTTTTGTTACTTAAAAAGTAATTACATATCTTAGCAAAATCAACACCTTCTCAGAGAGAATATAAAAAACAAGATGTGTAAATTTGTCTTAAACCTGGTTTCTTTTGTAGAAAAATAATTCAATACACATGCATATTTCTTTAGTCTCATGAGCACGTTAAGCAACACATACCCAACCTATTCTTTTTTGTTGCCACAATTTAAAAATCACATATCATGATTCATATTTTACGCATTTTGAAAATCATACGTTTCGATTCTTCTCACAATTTAAAAGACATATATCGTAATCCGTATTTACGCGATCTAAAAATCACAAGTTGCGATTCGTATTTTGGCATTTAAAAAATCATATGTTGTTACTCTTCTTGCAATTCAAAAATCACACAATGAGATTCATATTAAAAACCATATATTGCTATTCATATTCGCGCTTTTTAAAAATCATACATTGTGAATCATCTTCTCGCTATATAAAAATCACTTATCTTCATTCACAAATCGTGTGATTATCATTACAAATGTTATTATCGTGTTATTATCATTACAAATATCTTCATTCTCACGAATTCACATTCACACGATTTAAAAATCATGCGTCACATTTTTAATTCAAGCAATTTAAAAATCACACATAGAAATTTGTATTCAAGCGATTTAAAAATAACGCATCAGTATTTGTATTCATGCGATTTAAAGATCGGGAAAGGACGAGCTCCATTTGGGGCAAATTCCCAAACTGATTAAGTTATTTGCTCTAAGTTTAATACTGCTCGCAACTGCAACTTCTGTCGAAAAACTGTTTTCCAAAATGAATTCTGCATGTTTAAAATTAAGGACCAGCCTTTAAACAAAATCATTAAATTTTCATTTAATGGCCTGAAAAAGCTACCACATGATCAAGTTTATAAAATTATCGCACTATTTAAAAATTTTGCCTAATTGCAGAATAACCATTAAGAAATTTTTTAAACCGTTTTCTACCCATGTGGAAAATTTTATATCATTTATGATAATATGCTGGGAAATGATTTGTATAACATTTAATTATAACTGTAAAAAAATGTAATCAAGAAAAGTATCATAAAGTAATGTAAATTTTAATTAATTGTAAATATATATGTATATGTATTAATAGTAAGTGTCATGTTAAAAAGGTATTGGTCATAAAGAGTTGTAGTTTTTATAGTTTTTTTTGTTATTAAGGAAAATAGTTCCTTCAAAATTAATGTTTTCTTTCCTCTCTCAGCCCCTGTCTCTTATAATTTATTTAAAATAAATGTTTTTAAGTTCACTCCTTATTAAATGTTGAATCTTATTTTGAGCTGAAAGGGTTTTGTTTTTATTTTTTTCATTTTTAACCCTATAAACTTTCGTTAAATCAAGATATTTAATTATTGCATTTATTTTAATAACTAGATTATTTATTTTTTTAAATTTAATTCTATGAACAAATTTTTTAATGTAAAAATTTATGTTTGAATGGAATTTTGTATTATGTAATGTGATTAAAAAAACTTAAATTTTCCCATAGTTCAATTTATCTGAATTTTTTTTCTTTCTAATAAATTGATTCTGATTTTATTTTAGAAGTAACCAGTTTTGCAGTTTCTAATTTTAAGCATTTAAAAGTATTTAATTTTATGCAAACATATTACAAGGTTAACGTATAAAAAGTATTCAGTGCCTAGATCAATGATGTTTATATAACAATTACTAGCTACAATTACTGTCTGTCTAAATACTTTGACATGCAGCCCTACGTTGTTCAATCTGCTGTGCACGTAGCTGTTTTCTCAAAAAAAGTTGTGCACCCCTAGTTTAATTGGTAAAGATTTTTATCAATAATCGCCGTAAATTAAAACATTGTATACTTACCTTTTGTTCAATTTACTTTTATTTACAGGTATGGATTTCGCACTAACCCTTATTTATCTATCGTGGCTCGTCCAAAGCTTGGCCATCACGCTGTCACTTTAACGCATATTACAGAATGGATAGAAAGAAAGCTAGTATTAGAGTTTCAGGTAAAATATATTTTTTATTCTATAGTACTTTAAATATTAAAGAAAATAGTTTATATTGAAACAGTCTTATTGTAAGAAGCCACAGCATAATGAAGTAATCTCTTTTACCTTTGTATTTTTCAAAATTTTTGTTTATGTAAAAACTGTTACAATTTTAGTGGTTTATACTTCTGTCAAAAATAGAGAGGGAATTTTTTTCACATCTGTGGAGTTGGTAGTTGAAATGTTCAATTCCAACTCCATGAGAGCTCGACTCAACTTACATTCGATTAAATTTTTATAGAATACTTGTAAATAACTATCAATGTAAACTATAGATATTTATTTTTTATGTACAATTGGAAGGGTATTTAATTAAGATTAAATTTTATATTTATTGGAAATAAATGTTTAGAAAAATATGTTTGTACAAAATGCTAAATTTGTACATAAACCATTTATAAGATATCAATATCTCCCACAATCTCTGTTCTGACGCATAGATGGCGACACTGTTGACGATTCATGTGATTTTTAGATAATAGCATCTTTCAAACAATATATATCGAAATTTCTTTACATTCTGATTAACAGATTTTCTAAGTTTTGTTAAAATGGATGAAGAATTTTCTGTGTGGATTAAATATTTTTTTATGGGAAAATATACTGAATCCAAACAGTGCCTTGCCATCAGACTTAATGTTGGAGATTCTCTTGGTCTTCCTCTTCGTGTAACGCAAATGTGGGTTAGTTCCATCTAAAAGTTGTCCTCGAAGGCAAATTTCTCCCCATACTAGATCCAGGAGTCTTTTGGATCGAGTTCAAAAATTACAAGGTTGCTAGTTGAACATTAGTAGTCCTAAACCCAAATTTGGATTGGCTGTTCAAAGACAGTTATAAAAATAAAAAAAATGGATGAACCTACACACTGGAATCTAAAAGATTATAAGTTGAGTGGACACGGGTCAAAAGCAATAAAAAACTCAAAGTTATTAATATTTTGGATGGATAAAAAATTACAGTATTGAATCAATTAAGTGCAGAAATCAAGAAGAAAAAGCGCTGATAATCATGTTTAAAACGATGGTTAAATTGTAAATAATACTTTTTTAATTTCCTTAAATAACTTCTATGAATTTATTTTTTTCTCCTTTTTCAGAAATTACTTGTCATGCCAAATATGGATGATTTGATCATACCCATCTTGCAGCCTGATTTAGACCTTCCAAAATCGTAAAATGTTTTGGACTGTATGTTTTCTAGTCTTTGTAAGGTGATTTTTACAAGGAAGAATGTTTTTATATCCATTTATTTCTGTTGTTACGATAAAGAAGCTTTAAATTTGTGATAAAAAAATGAATACTTTAATCCACCCACTGTAACGAGTGGTAGCTTTAAATTATATATATATATTTGGTACTTAAAGGCATATTTGATAAGTTTGCTATTCATAGATGACTCTACTCTAAAATGTTCGGGAAAATAAATTATGAGCTTAGTAATAAACATATATACGCTTTTAATGTGTTGAACGGAAAACTCTAAATAAATTATATGTATTGACGAGTGGTGCAAAATGTTTTAATGGTTGGTGTGTTGAAATCTTGTTTCCTATTAATAGTTAAAATTAATACAAATGTAGATGTCAAAAGTTTTTTGATAATTGAAGATCAAGGGAGAAGATCCATTTTTTCTGAAAATTTAAATTTATTCATCACCTATTGCATTTTGAGGATAACTAAGTTTTGACAAATTGATAAAAATCGATCCTTCCCAAGAGTTATTACGCAATGAAGATGGTCCATGCTGGAAAAAAATAGCTCCTATGATATTAAGAAATAATTTTTCTCAGAATCAGCTTTTATGGACATAAACCAATCATCCCCCTTTATCTTCAATTTATTTTTTTGTTAAATGTATTATTTTTAGTATTTCTTGTTAACTTATTTTTGTTAGATTACTTAATTAGCAAATGAAAAATGCTACTTATTTTTTTTTTTATATATATATATATTATGATTTCTATTAATTACTGGAATTTACGTTTGTTTTTAAAATTTTCACTAAAGTAGCAAAGACTATACACATAAGAATTTTGAAGTTATTATTTAAGACTTGAAAAAAATTGTTGTTGAAATTTAATGAATCTACTGAAAAAGGTGAGAATGAAATCATCAAAATCTGTTTGATTGCTTGATGAAAAGGAAATTAATTTAAAGGCAATTATTAAGTTCAAGTTACGGCAGGCAATTAAATTAGTTTTAATATTTTCTTCCTTATGAATTTCAGTTTACAATCTCCCTTTCTCAAAGTAAAGTTTTGAACCCCTAATGCATATTTTTTTCTTGCAAGGATTTAAAAAATATACACTAAAGGTGCTCATTACAAAACATCCTGGAAAAAAGTATTTTTTTAAATATACCAAAAACCAGATATGATTTTTGTCTTTTTCCTCCTGATAACTAAATTAATGGCTTGTTTAACATTATGTTTACAAACATGCATAAGTACACAAAATAAAAACATGTGTTCAGAAAAAATATTTTTTAACGATTAAAAGATAAGTTTTAATGATTTCTCAAATTCTTTCTTCTTTAAAAAAATAAAAACATAATAGAGATTTTTTTTTCTATTTCTATTTTTCCTTATTATGACTTTAAGATTATTGAATTAATGACTTATTCTGATGTATCATTATTTTGCTTTTTTAGTACTTCGAGAAATATCTTAAAATAAAGCTTGCACACGAAGTTTGCATTAAAGTTTGATGATTACAAAAAATTTTGAAAATATTCTTTTATTCTTAAGCATGTGAAATTCTTTTTTTCAATCAGTAATATTTAAAGTTTAAAAAATCCTTATATTTTTAATGAGTAAAAATATTAATCCTTACTTTATCTATAAAATATATCTGAAATAAAAGGTGTGTTTTTATTTATATAATTGAAACTATTTTGTTTACAAATGTGTAGAATTTAAACAATGAAAAAAAATTTAACTTAGGGCAGTGGTAATTATCATGCTGTGTATTAGAAGATACAAAATAACTTTGAGAAAGCATTTATATTAAGGTTTATGAATTAGCATTGGAATGTAGAACAAATTTTTTTATATTTCTTATGGGAAAGTGAGGTTTTTAATCATAAATTTTTGTAGAAAAACTTGTCTTTTATGAAGGTAGGATGACAAATGTGTTTTATTGGTAATTGATAAATGAATGATGTGACTTTTTTTTCTTTTTTGTTGTCCTTAAAGCAACTGATAATGCTTTTGCCAAAATAGTTATCAAATTTTTCTCTGTTAAAGTATATTTTATAATCAAAAAATAAATAAAATTTATCTATTTTATAAAAATATAAAAAGTCGGTTTCACTTTATCTAACAAAGCAAATTACATACTTTAGTGATATTTTTATTTATTGTTTTAAAAGTAAAAATTATTTTAAAGTACTAAAAAATTTAAACTTTAATTGCTGAAAATATCTGTATAAATAAAAAATAATTCTGAAAAAATATTTATATTTTTTAAAAAATGTGATCATATTTTGAACAATATATCAGCCAATAGGTTGTTCAAATGTTTATTTTTAATAGTTCATAATAATTAAAGTGTACCCTCCAGCTGTTATGGAATTTCATTATCACCTACAAAAGAATTTTTCCCTTATAGCACTAAAACTACATGTAAATATTTTTATTCTTCCTTTAATAAATTTAATTTAAGAAACATTTTAGCCATGTAAATTTGGTTGGGGCAAAAATAAGTTATTTGGACAAAATTGAGATATAAATATTTTCCTTGCAACATATTACAAACTTATTTCAGAAGTTGTCTTGCTCTCTCTGTACAAAAAAAAAAAAAAAAAAAAAAAANAAAAAAAAAAAAAAAAAAAAAAAAAAAAAAAAAAAAAAAAAAAAAAAAAAAAAAGGAAGTTAAAAGGAAAAGATTTTCCATCAGAATTCTGTTTTGGCCCATAGATTGAAAGGCACTTGAGAATGGTGCAAAACACTTTCTTGCTGCACAAGAATGGCCACCACGTTAACCAGATTAGAATTAGATTTGAAAGATTTGTCATTCCAAGGTGAGTTGCAAACCGTAGTTATGTGATAGGTGATTGCATTTAGGCTTAATCTAATTTGCATGATGGTCATAGGCAGCTGTTAAGTTAATGATGTTTAGTTGTTATATTTTAATAAACCATGTATAAAATGCAAGATATCATTTAGTAGTGTTTTAAGTTTTGTTTTAATATTTCTGCTTTGGTTCATTACCACTGGGAATCCAAATAAAATGAATGTTGGAGGGTGTTTCTGAAATATATTTTTAGTTGTCTTATTTTAAAGATTTTTCATAAAAGTTGCAATGATTTCATTTTCTATTTCAAAGGTGTTGAAATCTCAATTTTCATTTTATACTGCTTAAAGTAACAATATTAAATACTAAACAAGTTTTTCCAGAAAACTTTTTAATTTTTAAAATTCGCAACAGTTTGAGAAGCTATGAAAATGTCAGAAAAATATCAAAATCTAAAAGTGTGTGATTTAAAGGAAAAAAAGTGTTATTACAGTGGAGCGTATGAAAGTGACATTTTAGTGTGAATTCTAGTAAATTAGCTTAAAGGTATATACATTGACAATCAAAAATAAAGGTTAAGCTTCGCTTTTAATTCTTGCATGTAAATCTCAATTGGTAAAACTTATCACTCTCCTAAACTTATAATAATTTTCCCTCTCATAAGTCTTTTAATTTGCTGAAAAACTTCTAAGGTATTTTGACGACTGTTTGTTGCCAAATGCACTTAGAATCTTTTTCCACACTGAGAGCAACCAAAAATTGTCACAGAGATGTGGGAAATTTCTAGGACTTAGCAAAAATGTTATATAACTTAATAAGATATTTTGATAACAAGCCATCTTTCAAAAGTATCACCTAAAACCTTCTTCCTCTTGGCTCCTCTACTGTATTTATTAAAATAATATTGGAATAAAGAATAGTTTGGAAGAAGAAAAATTTATAAATACTTTTATTTCTTTTGAATCTTATAAACATAATATATGCTATAATTCTTTTTATATGCTATATAGGGGAAAGTTGGACAAAACGGGATACCATTATTGTTTTTATTTACTACAGAAAATCTGTTAAAGAGAACTACTACACATTAATTTTTTTATAGCTACATCACTTATTGAAGCACAGAAAAAACATAGTTCAAACTAATTTTAATGACTGTGAAATAGGAAAAAAAATCATTTACAAACTTTTACATATCCCATTTTAGCATACCTGGGTCGGACAAAACGGGATAGGGTTTACAATGTTTAATTTTTTTGTATAAAACTTACTAAAAACATAATTAATTGACAGAAAACTGTAAAGCAAAATTTCTAAAAATTGTATTTATGGGATTTTATTGCTTCTAACATTTTTATGTAAACTGTTGTTTTATAATTAAGTACACAAAAATTCTGATGCTACATAAGTTTTTAAAGATTTCATCAGTTTTCAACCATGAACACTTATTCCATGATTTTCACTGTCGAGATGCGCCTGGTGCCCTTAAGAGGGATTTCTTAGCAATCCTTTCTTCAATTCTCTTGGTTCATTCGTGTAGTTTAATCATACTTTTTTTTCTTCCATTTATAATTCACTTTTAAATGGAGATGATGTTATTACTACAGTTTTCTTCTTTCTCTTATCAGTCATTTTTTCTGGGAGCGGTCCTTTTACTTGAGGTACATGTACAACACACTTTGGAAGGATGGAAAAGGGTAGCTTAGGTCGATAACAAGAGAGTAATAATCCTAAAACTGCACACATCAGTCTGGTGTTCAATGCCTGGAAGTTCTTGCTGTTAAATCAGTGGTGACAGACAATGCAAACAGGTGATCTGGGAAGACGTCAGGATTGTAAGGACTTATACCAGTTTTACTAAACCCTTTAATGGTAGTTTCTGCAACGACTGCCCGTGAGTAGGCTGCGTTGAACAGTTTTGTAACCTCATAAATTATATTGCACCTACCTGGATGGTTGAACAGCCACTTTCGAACTTCTTGTTCATAATACTCGCTCAGTGGAGTCATGAAACTGATCTCCAGGGACTGAAGGCGATGAGTTGTATGTGGGGGGAAGGAAATTTTCTTCCCTGTGTTAAAATTATGCTTAATATTGTTTCTCTCAGCTAACTCAAATGCTAGCATTCGTATGCCCGTTAGAATTATACCAAATAATCTCTCTTCTAGAGTCAATACATGCTCACTCGTTTTTTCTTGTTCAGCATTGAATACTGTCTCTTATCTGTCCAACTTTTTCACTGCTGCCAATCCAGTGGTCAATGTATTTGTACGACCCTTTTTTACCTTTCTTTCAATATAGTAATAATAATATAGTAAAAGTATTAGGCCAACAAATAAGTAGGTGGATAAAACGGGATATAAAAAAACTCTATCCCGTTTTATACAACTCATAAGTATCCCGTTTTGTCAGACTCAGACACTTTTCAAATCAAACATGGCTTCTGCCTAAACGTAAAAGAAAAATTAGATTGACTAGACGAGAATACTCATTAATAAATGCTTCATCAAATGTAATACTCACCTGAATTATAATCCTATATATATAGGCAGTACAATGTGAAAAACAACGCACGTAATTGTGGAGAGTGGCAAAAAAAAATGGAGTAAAAAAGTTCTGAGACCTACAACTTTCTATCAACTAGTGAT